AAGTGAGAGCAAATTTGCTGCAATGTTTAATGTCCGCAACCTGTGAACCATGGCCCAGTACTAGACTATGGCCTGTTGGCCATTGGGCTGCAGGAACAGATAGCAAGTGCATGCACATGTGCATTCCCCCCCCACTTGTGCTAGCACCACCGCGTGGCTGCTAGTGGCCCTGTTTGCACATGCGTGGGGGCGCTAGTACTACCAGCATCACATGGGCAGTAGCGGCCCATTTGCACATCTGTGTGGACACCAGAGTGCCACCAGCGCTGCCATGAGAACACATGTGCAGATGCGCATGCGAACGCGGGGCCACACATGGACACATTTCCCTGCTCCTCCCTTTCCATCTGGGCCGCCAAACCCAAAAGTTTGGGGAGCTTTGGTTTAAGGCATTAGAGTAGAAGCTGGGAAACTGTGAGTTGGCCTTGGGCACAAAACAGCTGGGTGACCTTGTACCAGTCACTTTCTCTAAACCTTAGGAAGGAGACAGTGTCAAACCACTTCTGAAAAAAAAAAATTCAATCAGTTCTGGGAGGCTGTCAGTTAAAACGTGCTGTATACCCAGCACTGAGATTCAAAAGAAAGACCACTAAATTTCATAGTATGTTTGGCATGAAACAAGTTATCGAATTAGGAGGAGTGAAAGTAATAGGAATTATTGAGTTACAAAGTAAAAGTAAGTACTAACATACAGAACCCAATTTCTCAGAAAGGTTGATCAGATGATCTCCAAATCAGCTGCATTATGCTGCATTAGAATTGGGCAATTATAATTGCTCCATGTTTGGAAATGGCTCATTTTTCTTAAAGGCCTGTGGAAGAGCTAATTGCAATGATTCATGGGATCGAAATAGGTATTTTAAGATAATTATACTTCCATCATATTTGAACAGCGCCTCCCTTTAATTGAATGAGTGGATAAATGTGAAAATTTGAATCCAATCAATTGAGTCAGTCCGGAATTACCCATATGGTGCTCTTTATCATTATCTCAATCTTCATCATTGATTGTTTTCCAAGAAACAATTCCATGGCACAAGGAATGAGTATGCAGGAAGACACCATCGTAAAGTCATTCCTGTCACAGATGTTGGATGAGTGGTGAATCTGGATGTCAGGACCTTCTATCCCAAATATCTATTTTCCTGCAATAGTTCATACTGTCAGAAGCTAGGACAAAACACGGTTTCTTCAATAATCCACTAACAGGTAATATACATTCTTCAACAATCACACAAAAGCTACAAATAAAAGTCATCTTATATCTGTCTGTCAGTCCGTCTGTTGATTCATTGTTGATCTACTGCACAGATTCCTAAGGTAATCCTGAAACAGAACAAAAGTCTGATTGTATAGTACATGGATGCACTCTGTTAAGCTTGATTTAGAGTTGCCCACAACTGCAAAGAGGCATCATTGCAAATCCACGCAGCCAAGGAGTTGATGGGCAAGTGTAGGTTGTAGATGGCTGCGAAGGCCAATGCATGCCTTCCAACTGCACCTTGTGCAAAGGTGCGCATCCTGCGTGCTGATTGGTTGACCTAACGCCCTATTCTGCGCTTTGCTTTTTGAGTACCCCGTAGCTAGAAAGAATATTCACAAATGTATAAATCAGTGGTTCTCAACCTTTTTAATGCCGAGACCCCCAACCGGTCATAAGTTGAGGACTACTCAACTGGTGCAGCACCGTTTGCAGAATGGGACTTTTGGCGGGCTCAGCAGGGCAGAGACAGCCTGGACAATTCCTATTGGCTTTTGAAAGCCAATAGAATTAGACTCTATTCAAGAGAGTCTATTCTATTGGCTTTCAAAAGCCAATAGAATAAAAGGGAGTAGCACAGCTAAGGAAAAGGGGAAAAAAATGGCAGACTGCGTTGTTTGGTGACCCCCGTGAAATGGTCGTTCAACCCCAAATGGGGTCCCGACCCACAGGTTGAGAACCACTGGTATAAATGCAACAGCTATACAACCATCTCTGAATGACAGATGCATAAGTTCCCTGATGTGCAGCATAGAGAAGTCCAATCTAGTCTTTAACCTTCCGCATAACCATGAGCACCAATTAGCAGTCACAAGTCATGATGAATACTCATTCTATTCACAACGTATCAGCAGCCTCAACCACAGGTTCAGCTAAAAACTATTAGCATCCTAGTCAATGCCAAAACCCCATATTCCAGGGAATTCTTGGAAGCTTCACATTCAGACAAATCAGCCCTCAATAGACACATAAAGATAAACAAATTTACATATCTTACTAGAGAAACAATAAAAAAGCTAAGAAGGACATAAAAAAGTCAGAGTACTGTACATCCTTCCTAGCACCTGACATCCAAATAAGCAGGAATTAACACATGACAAATGAACAGAGAACAATACCTGATTAAGATATTGCCACAGAGAAAACCCAACCCCCATCAAAACTGGCTGGACAAGCCATTATATATATATAAAGAGAACAACTCATGTTGTTGCCCAACCGGGCAATGAAATATCTGCAAGCAAATAGCCAAACACCAGGAGTTCAACCCTGAGCTACAGATACAGATTGACATAGAGAAAAAGAGAAGCAGCAACAACTATAAGGCAATCGAGTAGTGAGAGAGAATCCAGTTCCTCTAAGTATATTAGAAAGAATCCAGGAATCAACAAGGAGAAAAGACAGCATGATAGAAATATCAATAGTTTTACTTGGTCCACTGCTTTCTCTACTGATTCTGCTCTCTCTGAAACAATGGTGGTCCCGAAGACACTTCCCGCCCGGTCCTCCTTCTCTTCCAATCCTTGGAAATGCATGGGCTTTGCAGATTAAACATAATGAAGACATTTTGAAGCAGGTATTTATTTCTTAGCATAGATCCAATAATTAATTAGCTAAACCATCAACAGAGGCAATTCTACTTTATTTTTTTTTTCTCCTGTGATTATCTCCTAAGTTGCTTTGCTAGTAAAATATTCTGATGCTATATTAATATTATAATAACTTGATGAATAAAATGAGGACAGTGTTGATGAAGGCAACTCTTTTTTCCCAACAATACTTACAAAAACACAGGAACAGCCAGGTAAGTGGAATATATCAACTTGGAAAGCTATTTGGCAAAAGAAGAAACAATTCAAGATTTGACTCGTCCTATCAGATGGAGAATTACATGAGCAAACACTTGTTTGCATATGGTTAAAAGAATAGAGAACTTTTAACATAAAGGGGCCCTATAACAAGAGGGATAAGAGATTTAAGTAGTATAGTATGTTTTACAATATATAAAAAATAAAAATATTGGGATGATGTAACTTTGATAAATATAAATATAAAGAAATATAAACTGATAAGAAAGGATCTTATACGCAGGTGCTATAAGAGCGATGAGAAGTATAATATTTTTATAATGTATGAAATATGAAAATATTGGGATGGTGTATTTAAACGGAAAAATTTGGATATTTAGATGACTGGCACTGAGAAAATCATGACTGATAAGAATGGATTGAATATAAGGGGGAAATTAAGCTTAAACAAAAATCATGAAAATAGGATGCATGGTGAACTAATGAGATAATTTTTATAAGAATAATGTAAGCCGATAAAAAAAGTTATACATAGATGTTAACATTATCTGTACAAATATGAAAAATGTCTATATTTAATCATTAATATATTGAAAATATTAAGAATTATATTTGTTTAAGGTTGAAGAAGGAGAATACAATTGGGAGAAGGGAAGAGCAAAGAAATATATTAATTAATATACTAATTATGGAATTATCAAAACCAATCATTACTGACTGTTAATTAATTATTATTGCTTTTTTTCAAATATTCTATTCTATTTTAGTATTCTATTCTAGGTACCTATTCAATTTCCAGGGGTCTCCAACCCCATTCAGAATTGGGCTGTGCAAGTGGCGGGAGAGCCCGTATGTGCATGCAGTTCCTCTCACGCAAGTAGTAGTTGCTTGCGCTTGCACGTGAAGCTCCATGTTCAAGAGGTGAGCGTTAGCTCCACTTGCACAAACGGCAGACACTTGTGCCCACTGCTCACACAAATGGAGCTGTGCACCTGTGCATACCACTCACACAGAGTATTCTGACTCAAATCTAAAGTGCCTTCTTTTAAATCCAGTCAGATAGTTAACTCAAAAGAAAAGATCTTATAATAAACAAAAATATATTTATTAGAAAAATTACTTGCATTCACGCTGTGGTTGATACTCCTGGAAAATACATCTTTGTCCATTTCTTAGACCGTCTCTTTAGGTAAGGGAATGATGCTCTTTCATACCCTCTTTATAATAACTCAGGCTCATTGTGTGACCTTCCATGGCCCATGCTTCTTACAGACAAAGATATTCCCATGTGGCTTGTGTCCAGGAAGTCTCCCAATGACCTTTGAGACTCCTTCCACTGACCCATCAACATATGTAGCATTTAACCCAATAACTGCCAGACACTTCAACACACTGATACCTGCTCTCCACATAGAGCTATACGGTCCATAGAGCTATATGGTTCAGAATACAGAGCTATCCCCTCTTTCCCACATCTCTCTGCAGGGCCACCAAGCTGGAAAGGTTGGGGACCGCTGTTGTAGAGAAAATTATTAGGGCTGTAACCCCAGATGAAGCAGATATTAAAATTCAGTCCAGGTTCAGCCCTAAGTATGGGATGAAAAGTGCATTGGTCGATCTTGTGGATGTTCTGCATTTGGATTTGGATGGGTGGCACACCCTTTCCTTGTCTTCCATTAATTCTGTCGGCAGCATTTCATCCCTTCAAGGATGATATCATTTTGGATATCATTATGAAATTTGCTCTGGCTGTTGAAAGCGAAGTCCATAGGAGAATGTTATTAAAAATGAAACAAGATACTAAAACTAAATGGAAAGCAATATGTTTTATTGGCATCAAAAAAAAAAAAAGAAAGAAAGAAAAAGAAACAAGTGAAATATAACAAAGTTAATGTCTATGGAGATTCTCAATCATCCAGATCATGGTTATCTCAGAGGTGCTTTATCCCAAAAGGCATCTGAACTTTCTTGGGTTTTTTTTTTATTTGAAAACATTTTGCTTCTCATTCAAGAAGCTTCTTTGGTTCTAACTGACTGGGGGGGGGGGGAATGGAAGGATTTATATTCTTTGTAGTCATCTCAATATTAGCACTCTGAGGGTTGCTTTTTAGGTAATCAATAAAGTCCAATTGCTTTTTGGAAAAAAGCATCTTTGGGACATAACAAGCTTAGTTAGCATATTTTTCACCCGCATCTCCTAGTCTTTGGTTGACCTTGTTAGGTACTGTATGTTGTGTGAACCCAGCAATAGGTTGAAGAAGTAAATAGAAGCAAAATGCAATATTAAGTGAATAGGTATATAGGAAACATTTATGATATTGAATAGCTGTAACTAATTTTACGCTCTTTATGGTGTTTAAGCTTAATAGTGTAAGGGAATCGCACACAATTTGTAAGGGTGTGGATGTGCCATCACTTTTACAACAGGAGCTTCATTGAGTTCTTTCACTCCTTCAGGCAACCGAAAACTGAAGGCCCTCAGCAGGCTGGTCAGAACGATGAAGACCTCAATTCTTGCCAGCAGCTCTCCCACACATGCCCGTTGACCTGTAGATGAGACAAAGCATGCATAAAGGGAATAATAATCAGTTCTCTAGAGTATTTCCCATCAGCAAGGAAATCTGAAAGGATTTGTAGCAGATGAAATAGATTTTCATGATAACCCTGGTATCTTTTAGCAGATTCAATTCCTAGAGCTTTTTTCTCCCTTTTTGTCAGAAAGATGCCATTAATTCAGGTTGTACTAGATGGAACACCATTTCAAAGGCAAAGTTATACATGCATAAAAACACTGATCTGGCATCTTTTTCCAAAGATGGGCTTATAAAGTCACTTTCTCACCTCTCTTGCCCACCAACTTATTCCACAATAATATAGGTAGAGTAAAGAGAGGAGGTATGGGCATGGGAATTCCCTTTCACTAACAAACACCTATTCTTGTTATTCTTTGCTTGCTACATCCGTCTGTCTGGATAAAAGTTGGACTCACAGTCTGCAAAGCAGCCCTTCTTGTCCTCCTCAGAGTAATTGCTACTGTGGCCTTGGACTGCGTTTGATTTCTTTTCCTCAGGGATGTAAATATTCATGCTGCTTAGATTGTCAATTCAGGAGTGACCCAGGATGTCAGTTTTGCCATGACTGCCATTGGGTTTGTCCAAACTACAACTGAGTCCCAGATGCTGACTTTGATATTTTGTTTCTCTCCAAACAAGAACCATAGCACTAATTGCATATCTCTCATGGACAGATGTGGATACCATTCTGCAGGGATGGAAGTCAGCTTCTGCAGAAATTGGAGATGGTCTGAAGTAGGCGTACTTCAGACCACAGTCTGCAGGAATGAAACAGTCTGGATTTCCGGCCAGCAGCGTCATTGGCTGGGAGACTCGGGATGCTGAGCTATTCAGCTGAGTTTCTTCTTGTTTGGGGACCCTAAATGGGCCAGAAGCCGCCCCGGAGAGGTGGCACTGAAGGAAGGTACTTCCAGGGACCTAGGAGAGATGGCGATCTCTCCGATAGGTCCAGGAGAAGCCTCCCAGAAAGCAACAGAAGAAAGGCTAGCTAACTTTTTGTCTAGCCCAGGGATTCTCAACCTTGGCAACTTTAAGACTTGTGGACTTCAACTCCCAGAATTCCTCAGCCAGCAAAGCTGTAAGCTATGGAAGTCAAGAAGCTCTACTTCAGTGGTTCTCAACCTTGACAATTTTAAGGCATGTGGACTTCAACTCCCAGAATTCCACAGCCAGCAATGCTGGCTGTGGAATTCTGGGAGTTGAAGTCCACATGCCTTAAAATTGTCAAGGCTGAGAACCACTGCTCTACTTAAACTGATTGTAAACAGTGTGTTTCAAGCTGGGTAAGAAATATTTTTCTCTATCCTACTTATTTTCCTGAAAAAAAAAAAAGAACTCCCAAGAAGCAAAAATACCTCTGAGAGTGAAAAAAGGGGAGGGATTTCCCCCACTTTTTTGGTCATTGGAAGCAGGGAATTGAACTCTTTAAGGTGAAAAAGAAAACTGAAAAATGATCCAACACTGACATCTACTGGTGGATGAGGAGCTATAAAGCTTTTGTCTGTGGCTTTTAAAATCTTAGTAAATACAGCTGCTTAGAGCAGTGTTTCCCAAACTTGACAATTTTAAGGCATGTGGACTTCAACTCCCAGAATTCCACAGCCAGCATTGCTGGCTGGAATTCTGGGAGTTGAAGTCCACATGCCTTAAAATTGTCAAGTTTGGGAAACACTGGCTTAGAGAAAGCGATATTTACAGAAACAATGGATGTTTTACAAGAGGAAATATGTGATATGCTGCAATCCATTCAAAGGACAATGATTTCAAACCACAAAGAAATACAAGACAGCTTTGCAAATATAAGTCAACTTATCTCCAATTTAAGCTCACTTCAAAAAAAATCCTCAGGAGAATACAGCAGAGTTGATGGAATATAAATCAGAGGGAAAGGACTTAAAGATGGACTTTTACAAAAAAGAAAAATATGATTTAATTCAAGTGGAAGGAAAGTCAACTTATATTTCAACATCACAAAACAAATTGGATGACAACAGAAGGGATTTTAATGGAAAGAAAAGTGCAAGTGTTCAGGACAGAGATGTTGATTTACTTTCCACACCTATAGGAATGCCTATAATCGTAGGGGAAAACCTTTGGATCCAGCAAAGTATATTGATCAAGAAGAATTCTGGGCAAAGAAAAGAGATTAAGAAAAAAAAATGATAGGACATATCAGACAGAATATTTTAAAAAGAAACGTGTTTGAATATGGTTAAAGAAATAGAAAAAAATTGTAACACACCATTTTAAGAGGGATGAAATGTTTTAGATAGTATATATATATATATATATATATATATATATATATATATATATATATATATATGAATTAGAGTTAAGGGATTAGATGATTAGATTTATTTGAATAGAATGTCTAAAAATTAAATATATTCTTAACTATGATTAAAAAGAATAAGAAATTTGAGAAAATAAATACTACCAAACCAGGAGGGATATATATTTTAAATACTATGTTATTTCCTCTGTTCTGTTATTACTGCTTTCTTCTATTCTCTTTTATTTTTTATTTTATTTTATTTTTTATTTTATTTTTCTTCATTCTTTCTCTTTTCCTCTCTTTTTTTTACCAATATATTTAAAACTTAAGAAACATAAAAATGTGAGATAGCTTATATAGAAAAAATAGAATCAAGTTTGTTAATGTAAATGTAACAAATTGTCACCAGTAAAAATTACTTAGAATTTGGTGGGAGAAATAAACTGAAATAAGGACTGTAACAGGATTGATGATAAGGCAATTCAAATGAGTGGAAAGAAAAGAATGCATTAATATGATGATTGTTTTTTAGGAATATTGGAAAAAATATATACCAAATTGTCACTTATTAAAACAATAAGAATTATATTAATGTAATGTTTGCAAAAAAGGATGTTTCAGGGAAAGAGGAAAGTAAACAAAATTAATATATGAAATACAGACTATAGAAATTAATTGTTAAGGATTGTTTTTACAAATGTAACCCAGACATCACACTGTTTACCAACTATTGTGACTTATGTTTGTGCAAAAAAAAAAAAAATTAATAAAAAATATAGAAAAAAATGAAATAGTCTGCTCCAGGTACCAGATAAGTCTGGACGGGTTACATCAAGGGGCTTATGCCTCATCTGTTTGTGGAGTCTGTCTGATTTGTGAAATATGGAGATAGTCCATGCAGTTTCATCACCATTCATAAGTGCTGCTTTTTACTAATCGAGCTTAATCATAGCATAGGTTTATCATCACTCTCAAATATTAGTTATGAAGAAAGCAATGTCTCACAGCTCCATTCACATGTGAATGAAACTGGCCACTTGAACTGCAGCTTTATCTGCCTATGATATTAAATCTGTTTTGGTTCTCTTGACAAATAAGCTATGCCAGAAACTTAATGAGGGGAGAGGTAATTCTTCTCCCTCCATCAGTTACTTTCAGTTCATTGACCATGCATCTCTCTGGTCCATTGGTTGGAGTTGAGCTGCGGGGACACAGTGGTTCCAGTCCTTCTGTTGAACTATAACCAGAAAGTGATTCCACAGAATTATGTAGAAGAGGTTATTTTGGGGGGATTACTATTATGCTTTGGTCATTGATGCTGGGAACAGAATGACATCAGTATGGCATAACTCCCATGTTTAATGCTCCCCACTAACCAACTCCAAGGAAATAATCAGTGTCCTTAAAAGTTTCATCAACTCGATAAATAGTTGGCTAAAGGAAAAATAAGCTGAAGTTAAATCCAGACCAAATGGAAGTACAACAGATAAGGAGAGAGCTAAACTTGGGAAATGAGGTGGAATTTATTTTGGATGGGAGTAAACTCTCCCAGAAAGAGTAGGTTTGAGGTTCTTAGCCCCCAGGTATTATTAGTAATAATTACTGCATATACAAGTGCTTTTCTGCTGCTAAGCAAGGTAGAAACTCAGTTTGATTTCTAGCTCTCCTTGCTGGAATGCCCTTTAGCTGTTTGGGGAAATTTTTTGTCAGATTTAGCAGGCAGGCAGGCAGGCAGGCAGGCATTGTTTTTTGTACATGAGTATGGGAAGACAGAAGATTCAAACAGTGGAGAGGAAAAGGCAATTAATTAGACAAGATTGGACAACCATTTGTCTGAAATGGTATAGGGTCTCCTGCCTGAACAGGGGGCTGGACTAGATGACCTCCAAGGTCCCTTCCCACTCTGTTATTCTGTTATGCCTCCTGCAGGGACATTTGCAAAGATTGGTGGCCATAAAGGCTGATGGTGTACAAGTAATAAGAGGGGAAGAGTAATCATAAGGACAGGAAACAAATGGGATGAGTGTGTGTATGTAGTGTTTGCCATTAGTTCCTGGTAGACACATCAGAACCCAGTTTGAAAAAAACCCAACTTCAATCTTCAGAACTTATTTTCAGGAACACTGGAAAGATTTCCAGTGCCGGAACTCAGTTTATTAGAATCTTGTCTGTATTTCAGAATATGGAGAACATTCCCCAGGGAGGTTTATTTTATTCTAGCTATTCCAATATTTAAAGAAATGGGGTGGGAATGTCTAGCCAACTTTTAACTGTTAATTGATTTCTATAATTTTATTTTTATGCTGGACTTTTTCAAATTTACCATGCCACGCCCTAGACTCTAATAGTTTATCAAATAGTTTAGAAAGTTGCAACTTTAGGTTGACAGAATTCTGTCTATCAGGTACTCAATTACCAAGTCACTATTTCTTCTTTGGACTTGAGCCTGACTATGATGCAGTGGCAAGTGGTGGGAGGCAAAGGGATGGGATGGGATTCCTGGAATTGTGGGAGGGGGCAGCAGATAGCAAGAACCATAGTGATAAGATGACTCAGTTCATTTAGCTTGAACCATCAATTGTATTCATGCAATTTCTTATTTCTATTTCTTATTCATATATTAAGGTATTGCTTATTATTTAGCACATGCACTGCTATAAGTGCAGTACCAGATAGGACTGGAAACACTATGTTACAGGGAACCCTGCAGTCATTAACATAATAGAACTTAAATGCATCTAGAAACATAACTCTGTGATCCAGAGGCATCAGTAAGAAGCTACACCTAGACTACTTTCCTTGGATTTAGCTAATAATTCTCCTGGGAACACCAGAGATTGTTGTACAATCTTGTACATATCTTACAAAGTGCCACTGAATAAGATTGCAGTCTAACTTATTCCTTTGTACACCACAGTTTATAGCCCAGGGTGAAATTCAGACTCTCTTAGTTTTGAAACCAGAAGGAATAAAGATTCCTTGGTTTCCTGTTCAAACAATGATGACCTCAGAACAACTCAGGGATGATGGTGTTGGGAATCTACAAGTTATAACCTGCTTTTGAATCATGGACATACCTATTCCAAATGACAAAAACTCTTCCCGTTCCATGAACTTCCCATCCTTATCTAAAAAGTGATTTGGATTGAATTCTTCTGGTGTCTCCCATTGTTCAGGGTCAAGAAGAACAGAGCGCAGGTCTGGGATAATAATGCTCCCCTGTAAACAGATGATTAAACAGAACAGTTTCATAATGGAAACAGGCAAAAAGGTCAAACAATTTTGATGAAGCATTTGGTATTAACTTGTCACTGTGGTGCCTTATTTGTTCATTTCCAAAGCAGATTCAGAGAGTAGTAGCTGCTCAACTGTTTAGATTCCTTTCTTCCATCCCTTCCCTTAAAACACAGAACTAGGTGTATATTTATCACATCAGATTGCCCAAGAAATGAATAAAGAAACATGTCCAGATATGACTACAGTTCAGCCCTTAATCTATTATCATCTTCCTAGAATAAATAGAAAATGCTTACTGTATGGTTCTCGCTTTGAAATCTGAAAGGCATTTGGATTTAAACCCTTATAATAGTAGTAAAGTTGGAGGGGACCTTGGAGGTCATCTAGTCCAACCCCCTGCTTAGGCAGGAAACCCTACATCATTTCAGACAAATGGCTGTCCAGTCTCTTCTTAAAAACTTCCAGTGTTGGAGCATTCACCGCTTCTGGAGGCAGGTTGTTCCACTGATCAATTGTTCTCACTGTCAGGAAGTTTCTCCTTAGTTCTAGGTTGCTTCTCTCCTTGATCAGTTTCCATCTGTTGCTTCTTGTCCTGCCTTCAGACAATTTGGAGAATAGCTTCACTCCCTCTTCTCTGTGGCAGCCCCTGAAATATTGGAACACTGCTATCATGTCGCCCCTCATCCTTCTCTTCATTAAACTAGACATACCCAATTCCAGCAGCCGTTCCTTAATCCATCCCCCACAAAAGTTTGCTATTTTTGCTTATTCAGTTTTGCATGACCACATTGGCAGTTCCTTAACAGAGAGCTTCTATCTGTTCTGCTTTTCCTTCCATGTTGGGCTACTGGAATGCAGCCTGAACATGTTTCTCACCTTAGGAATGTGGTAACCCCTCATCTTCACATCCTTTATGCTTTGTCTGGGAAACCCAACTAACAAGACACTTTTTAAACGCTGCATTTCATGAATCACAGCATTGGTGTAGGGCAGCTTCTTCCGATCCTGATAGGAAATTGACCCCGAGAAGCCAAACACATCTTCAATCTCCTTCTGGACTTTCTCTAGGAAAAAAATGATGGAAACAAAAGCTTCATTTTATTCATTCAGGCCTGTTGTCTCCAATGTTCTTCAGAGGATCTGGCCTTCTCTTTCAAGTTATTGTCTGCTTCTGGGCTCCATCTCTATTGGAATTCCAATGTTTGCAGCCCCAGTTGGACCTCCAATGCCAGTCACTAGCTCATTGACTTTTATTCTGCAATTATCCCCAGCCCATCTTACCAGATTACTCCAAATCCATCTCCTGTCACTGATCTCTGATCTGGGCCATATACATCACTGCCAAGGCCCCTGTTGACTCTCTGGGCTGGTTTTTGCTTCCAGTCCCCACCAACTTGTTATTCTTCTTGGCTGTCTCCAGCTCTAATTCCAAGTTGGATCTTCATTATGCCTCCACTAGCACATACATACTCTGCCCTTAGCACAGCCTCCAGTCCTGCATTCCCCTCAGATTGGCAGTGGGTCAGACACATGGCCAGCTCTCCACTTCCCCTCAGTCTCTTGTCCTGGTCATGTCCCTCAATGCTGCAGACAATGGCTCTGCCCCCTCCACCCCAAATTTGAGGCCAGGGGTCTGCACTGGTTGGCAAAGTAAAAATACGAGCCTCGGCTGACTCCCAACTCTGAACCAATCTTGCATCTTCTCCATGTCATCCCTAGCTCAGTACCTTCAGCCTCTGATCTCCAGTGAAGTAGCAGGTCAGGCAGTACCAAGGTAGGATTAAGGGAAGATTGAGGGGTTTGTTTGGTGCTCCAAGCAGCAAGGAACCCCCCCCCCTCAATTCTCCCCTCCCTTCTCTTCATGGCAGGGAGCCTTGCATTGTGATCATCTGCTCATGCCTGCCATTGTGAATGTTTTTCTATGTTTATTAACATACTGAAATTTGGTCCTCTATGTGCAATTTAGGCCTGAAACAAGTAACAAAACCATGGTAGATTTCTCCACTGAAATTGTTAAATGTTTCAGATTTGTACTGATTACTAACTTTTAGTTCCTCACAGAATATTTTATTGAGGACTCAAAGAAAGATCTCTGTTTATTTATTTAGCACATCGCAGGTTTTCTCTATGTATATTTTTGCATTCCTTTAATCCTGCTAAATTCATACATCTGCTTATAGAATCAAGGATCAACAAAGGGAGATTGTTATGAAGAATAGATTTTAAATAATTTTTGTGTGTTTTAAAACCTGAGAGTGACTCTTGTTCCACTACACATATCTGTCTCACCTTGGATGTCAGGATGATTTGTCAAGAGGAGCAGTGCCCACATTAGAGTAGCAAAGGTTGTGTCTGTTCCAGCACCGAAAAAATCAAAAATACACTGAGCCAGGTTCTCTTCATTGTAGGTAGAGTTCAGGTCATTTCTGCTCTGATGTTTAAAATGGAAAATGAAAATTACAACAAATTCTATGCAGCTGCTTTTTAATTATTTTTGCTTCTGTGTCATAAATCATGAGAATAAATATATTCTGGATGGTTATATAGGAAAACCAATGCAGGAGAGTAATGATTATAGTGGTAGATTCATACTGAGTAAGACACTATCTTATAGTAGTCAAGACCACTGCACCACCGTGGCTCTTTTCTTTTAACGTATGCTTCCTGGAATGAACCACAAAAATTTAGAAGCAGCATTATTGCATGCATTCTAATTTAAAGTTATGTCCAAAATGATGTATATGATTGCTCTAACGACAAGATGTTGTGGCTTTTTTTACGCCACACCCATGACAAGTTACGCAATTTTTAGAATACAGGTAGTCCTTGACTTACAATCATTCATTTGGTGGTTGTTCAAAGTTTCAATGGCATTGAAAAAAAGTGATTTATAACAGGTTTTCATACCATTGAAGTATCTGCATGGCGTCAAAACTTGATTCGAGTCTTGGTTAATCTAAAGAGCTGGGAGATTCTTTTGTTGAATGTGCGAAATGGGACAGCTGACCCATGGTCACATGATCAAAATACAGGTGTTTGGCAGGCGGGATGTACTATTTGCACTGTCGTGGGGTCATGTGACCAGGAATTTTTTTTGTCATAGAAACCACCAGAACGGTGTTCTGGAATCTTTTCTCAATGGATTTTCCAGAATTGCGTTCTTTTCCTATTGTTTCCTTTCCTATCCTCATTTGTTTTTGAAAATGTCCAGCTGAAGGTACGATGCAAGTGGGTTCCCCTCCGGCATTGTCTGCCTCCTCTAGGAGGAGCTATGAGGCGCCGGAGCACCACAGCCAGAATGTGGTTTGATTGGCTGGGTCGGACCATGTGGTGTGGAAGCTGATGGTGGCGGTAGGAGACACATAAACATGGAGGCCATCTTTCACAAGAGGGCGAGTGAGCCTTTTGCCTTCCCCTACAGAAGGTAGGGTGTGTGTGAGGTTAAAAAGAGGTGAAGTGAGAGGAAAGAAGGGCGGCTGGCATGGAAGCTTGCCCGACAGCGAAACTTTGCTGTTTCGGTTCCTCGGGTAGTTCAAAGGCTGGGATGTCTACGACAATCTCTTTTAGTCTTTTATACTTTATATTCAAACTGCAGAAGGAAAGAATAAGAATAAAGCCAATGTCTTATGATTCGGAGGTATTATTAATAATAATATATATTAATTATGTATTAGTCAGATGTAAAGGTAGACCTACAGTATGAGGTTTCATCAGATCTATTTATTAAATTGGGTTTAACTTAAAGGTAAATTAAAAGTAATATGTTCACTGACAAAATTTCAACTTTAATTTGTTTCAAGTCAATATCCATATTAAACTCCAAATGTAAATTTTTCTCTCTTGTTTGACAACTTCTTAAAAATAATTCAATCTTTTACAAGTGACTAAATTTTGTTTTATTGGGCCAATTTCACTCCACATAGAAAGCTGACATTTCCACTCATTAAACTAAATGGGTATGCCAGTGGTAAATGTCCCAAAAGATTAATAAAATGCCTTCTTATAATTTAAAGCCACAGTGCATGGTAACATTAATATTAACTTACCTTGAACAAAATCCTAGTCTTTTAGATACACTAAAAATTGAAGGGTTTTTTTCATCTACAAAGGTGAACCTTGTAGGGTAGGCAAGGACTACATGTGAAAGGTAAATAATTTATATATTTTAAAAAATAGTAGAGAGATGCATTTATGAGCAGAATTACCGGGGGCTGAGCTGCTGAAAATTGGAAGAATTTTAAGTACCCGATGGGTGTCATCTAGTTTGCATACAGTTTTGGCTGTGTGGAATAATTTTGAATACCTTGTGTATCATTTTGAAGAAGCAATGTATGATCCTACAAGAGATAAAAATGATAAATGCGCTTATGATGGCTTGAAAAGAAAAATCGCATCTACAAAATTTTTATTGGACCTAGGATTGATGTGTGATGCTCTCCAAGAATTATCAGAATTAAGTTTGGACCTATAGGACCACAACATGGACCTGTACAAGGCAAATAAGAAAATAAAAATACTGGTACAAGTTTTTGAAGAAAAAAGATAGAACTTTGGGTCCTATTATAAATGTGCTGTTGCTGCTGTACATGATCTTCACTTTTGTGGAGTTTTACTTCATGAAAAAGATTCAAGAAAGGATCCTCCTATTGACCCAAGTACATTTTATACAAAATTGAAAGAGTCAATCGAAAAAAGATTGTTTGATAGCAAAGACGATGAGTTGGCATATTGGTCTCACATACTGGATCAAAAACATTGGCCTGAAGATGTCAATACTCAACTGATATTTGGAGAAGTGGAAATTAGAAACTTGTCAATCAGAATGCAACTAAATGAAAGAGAAATGATTTGTGGATTCCGTGGAATCCATTCTCGAAAAGACATAGGCAGAAAAACTGTTGCATTTGATATGGACTCTGAATACCATTCCCATTTCTTCAAGTGAATGTGCACAATTCTGGGCTCAGTTGTCATTTTAGGGTAAATAATCATTTAAATATGAATTAATCAAAAGTCCCTATCTTGTTAATTCTTTTCCTTCTTAATGGAAGAAGGGGAAATAAGTAATAGGCAAACAAGACAGGATGACAAATGGAAACATTTCTAACTTCCCCCACAAAGAATGTCCCACATCTAAATAAAGTCTAACATTGCAAAGTTGCGTTATAGCTCTTATTCAGAAGCAAACAGAATTTAGCATGGGCTAAATTCGGAGTGGGAGCTGATTTTTTTTTTAAAAAAAAGCCTCCAAAGAAGACAGTTCCGGTAGCTCCCCTTGTTTAATTATTGATCATGTGTTGAATTACACTGAACTCATTTTAGAAGAGCAACTAAGATAATCAAAGGCCTGGAGACTAAAACATATGAAGAACAGCTGCAGGACTTGGGTTTGGCTAGTCTAAAAAAAAGAAGAAATAGGGGTGTCATGATAGCAGTATTCCAGTATTTGAGGGACTCTCACAAAGAAAAGGGGGTCAACCTATTTTCCAAAGCACCAGAGGACAGGACAAGAAACAGTGGTTGGAAACTTATCAAAGAGAGAAGCAACCTAGAACTAAGGAGAAGCTTCCTAAAAGTGAGGACAATTAACCAGTGGAACAGCTTGCCTTCAGAAATCGTGGGTGCTCCATCACTGGAGGTTTTTAAGAAGAGACTAGACAGTCATTTGTCTGAAATGGTATAGGTTCTCCTGCTTGAGGAGGCTGGACTAGAAAATTTCCAAGATCCCTTCCAGCTCTATTCTATTTTACAATAAACTCATCCCTTCTCTATCTGAAGAAAGATCGTGATCAGTGAAATCTTGTGGCTCATGCAGACTAACTAATCAACTACAACTGTATTCAGGCCTATAGCACACTTTACTCTTCCAACTACTAAATTCAATATACTAACAGTATCTGTCCTTTACCGAACATTTCAGGGAAAGTATTCATTTAAGTATGAATTAATCAAAAATCTCTGTTAATTCTTTTCCTTCATAATGGAATTTCTTTAAAAAAAAAGGGGGGGGGAGGAAATGATAGGCCAACAAGACAGGATGACAAACAGAAATAATTCTAACTCGCCCCACAAAGAATCTCCTCCGTCTAACCAGAGTTTAAGATTGCAAAGGTACAACATAGCTCTTATTTAGAAGCAATCCAAATTGACATAGGCTAAATTCAGAATAGGAGCTAGATGAAAAAGAAAGAAAAAAAATCCAATAAATTTCGGTAGCTCCTCTTGTTTACTTATAGCAAAGAATATAATATTTCCTTGCTCATGTATTAAAACACAATAATCCCATACCTTCTCCATTTGAAGAAGATAGTGATCAATGAAATCCTGTGGCTCATCCAGAGAGTGAGATTCCTTGTGTTTCTCTATTTCCTGCTTTGCAAAGGAGACAATCACATCCAGAGCAGCCAGGGCTTTCTTGTGAGGGCCTGGGAGGTAGCTCATTAATCGTGGGAACACAAAAAGCATCTAATAGAAATTGGAAAAAATATTTAGTTATTTCCCATTACAATTAGAAAAGACTCTCAGCAGCTCACAGTAATAGACAGCACTTAATAACCAAAGAAAAACATTGCAAGCACATTGAAACATGGCAAACTATACATGGTGTCACACCTCAAAAACTCTCCGGGAAAACTGTTTCCAAATTCTTGTAGAAAACAAGGTTAGTGGCAGATAGAATATGATAAAGCTATTATAAAATTCTCTCATTCGCTCCAGGAGTCTTTGTAAATATGGTTACCTGTGGCTAACTGAGCCATGATTTAATAAATTAGACCAATTAGATTCAAATGCCAGGCTAAATAATGAATTAACTACATGGATCAGATTTTCAGTGTGCTACTGATGAGGATTCTCCTAACCGGGACGCAACGACCAGCGCTTTGAAGAATAATTGAATAATGAAGCTGAGCTGCTGGGAAAAAAAGCCTTTAATGACAAGAAACCAAACCCTAGTGACATTCAGCAAAGTTTCTTGGCTAGCTAGAATGTTTGACATCCAAACATGAGTTTATATATCTTTTCTGAGGTCTTTTCAGTCTAACACATACTAAACCGGTGTTTTAATCCTGTGCCTACTGATGGGATATTTTTCCCTATTTGGCATTGTTTGGAAGGAAAAAGGCCTAATCTCTGTTCCTAAAAAGAAGCGGAGTGGGCAAATCTAGCTAGTTCCTGTGTCTGTCTGTTTTGTCAATTGGTTCAACAAGTGGCAGCAATTGTGTTACGTATCTCGCTACATTTTATTACACTCTTGTGTATTCTTTGTGGTTTTGTTAATCTCAAGTGTTTGCGCTTGCACTGGCCTGAGCCTGTAAGCTTTGAAAATGAGCAAGATAAGGATTTAAACTGTTGTGATTTAATTATTTCTTTGTGATTTAATTTTTCCTGTCTCATGGTTTCTTCTTTTATCTGGAGAGGGGGGGGTCTTCATTCAATCCATTGCTTTTTACAATACCTTCAGGTACTTTGGGAAATAGATTAACTACCTCTTCTTTGTGGTAGTCCTAAAATATTAGAACACTGCTGTCATCCCTAGTTCTTCTTCTCAGTAGACTAGACAGATAAAATTTCTGCAACTGTTCTTCATATGTTTTAGCCTTCCACCTCTAATCATCTTTCTTACTTTTCTCTGCAATCTTTCTAGAGTCTCAACATCTCTTTTATATTGTGGTGAATCAATTGGATGCAATATTGCAAGTATGGTCTTACTAAGGCATTATATAGTGGTACTAACACTTCATGTGATGTTGATTCTACTCCTCCGTTAACGCAACCTAAGACTGCATTGGGTTTTTTTGGTGGCTGCTGCACATTGCTGCCTAATATTTAATGGTCCACTAGGAGTCCAAGATCTTTCTTGCTATTATAGCTATTGATTCAAGTGCCACTTATTTTATATCTGTGCATTTGAGTTTATTTCCCTCCATGTAGATATAAATTTGTAGATCTACAAATCTGAAAAGCTTGGTAGATTTCTACATTGAAAGTGTTAAATGTTTCAGATATGTAGCAACTCTTCTTTATATATTTTAGCCTCCAGTCCCCATATCACCTTTTTTGATGTTCTATGTACTTCAGTATTAGGGTATATCAGCAGAGGTCTGGTATCTGGAAGAAGTAGGTATGCTTTGCCTGGAAAAAAGAAGACTAACAGAGCCTTCATATATTTGAAGGACCATCATGTAGAAGAGAAACAGGGTGATTCAGAATTGTTATAGAAGTTTGGATGAAAACAATAGGTTTAAATTGTAAGGAAGCAAATGTTGGTTCAGTATTAGGAACAATTGGTGAAAATTGTTCAGTGATGGACAGACCCAGAGAGTGGTGGACTATCTTTTGCTAGAGCTGTTTAAACTTGGTATGGACAGCCATCTGCTGATGATACTTAAATGAAGGATTCATTCATGGGCAGAATCACTTTGGTGTACTTGTTAATGCACCAGCATAGAAACTGAGATACTCTGAGTTCTAGGCCCAACTCAAGCACTAAGTCAGCTGAGTGACCAGTCCTTCTCTCTCAGCCCTAGGAAGTGGGCAATAGTAAACCACACCCAACATCTTGACAAGGAAACTGCAAAGACTTGTCCAGGCTCACACCTGGAGTCAAAACTGATTCAAGGACACAAACACCTACTGGGGATAATAGTGCAATAGATGAGTTTGAAAGCTTCCTCCATGGATTCTATTCATGATTACATTAAATTGCTGATAGAAACATGGCTTTTGAGGGAGCTTTAATAGAAAACATGACTCACCACATGAAAAAAGCCACCAGAGAATTTCACAAGAATTTCAAGGACTTGAATTAACTTCTGGAAGTTTTCATCTTCAGGAGCAAACTGATGTCCAAAACTCAAAGCACATATGACATTAGAAACTGCATTTATTACTGGAATTGAAGGGTCAAATGGCTGTCCTGAAAACAAAGATATTTAAACAAAGATATTTCATAATGAATCATTAAAAAACAGGACTTCTAATGGGATAAAGGAAAAAATTTGAGAACTCTGTCAATTGTTTCAAAACTAAAACAAAATAAAATCAGATAATCTCTTTTTATTTAAAATAATCAGAATGGAAAAGATTTTGACAGTCACCCTAAATTGCATACCTTTTGTTTCTCTAAAGCTCTCTACCAATGTCTGAGCTGTGTCTTGTATTTGATGCTCAATGCTCTTCTTCCCCAGGCCCAGCTTCCGCAGAGAAGTGAGGCCGATGTGTCGCTGCTGTTTCCAGATGTGCCCATTGGAGAAAATAATACCTGAGGGCATCAGCAGACAATGATAAATGATGACATTCATGTTTTTTTTTTAAAAAAAGGTCTGACTACATTCAGGTTAAAAACCAGTTAGGTCTAGTTCTTGCCAAACATCTCTCTGGATTTCAGATGGGAATACCAAACTTTTGTGACATGTTGCCATTGTCATGGTTCCGATAGAGGAAACCAGTTAAAAGAACTTCAAAGCAAGATTTCTTCCTTAAAGAATATTTTATTAGGAAACAAAGTATCAGCACTTACATAGTTGAACCCAAGAATGAAATTCCCTCCTCCCAGATACAAAGTAACAAATTGCAATTCCCACCCCACAAGAGTTGTCATAAATCACATTCCCCAATTAGCATGAAACGTAAGCTTTTCTCTCCAGCCTCTCAGCCCGCCAAAAGCTTATCAGAACATGTCCTTGAGTTCCCACACTTCTACATTGTTATGGCTAGCTAAACCTTCAGGCATTTACCCCATCCCCCCTTCTACATCTGAACTCTAAAAGAATAGAAAGGCACATTAAAAGCAAAAATAAAAATGTTTGTGGTTCTCAGTTGTCAGAGCGACGACATCCATTGTCACAGCATTGACATCTGCCCCCCTTAACAAAAAGGTGTAATCCTGCAATTTAAACAGAAGCATAGGTTAAGGGTTGCCCCTTAGCTTGTTGGGGTGTTTGTCATAGAATTTACAGATGAGCCTGTCAGCTTTCACATCATCTGATTTCACCCAAGTGACATCTGATAATGGGTATCCCTTCCACTGTGTTAAATACTGTAACTTCCCATTCAAAATTCTAGAATCAAGTATATGTTTTACTTCATAATGTGATTGTCCAGCTACCACTAGGGGACCAGGGGCTTTCTTGGGAGGAGGTCGTAAAGTGTACCCCTGGAAAGGTTTTAATAAACTACAATGAAAAACAGGGTGACTTTTTCCTAGGAGCCGTGGGAGTTTCAGCTCCACTGTAACTGCGTTTATGATTCTGACAATGTGGAAAGGACCTAGGTATTTTGGTCCCAATTTCTTACTAGGCAATTTGAATTGCAGATATTTTGTTGATAAGTAAACTTTTCCCCCAACATGGAACGATCTCTGGGGAGCCTTTTCTTATCAGCTTGTTTTTTGTAAGTCTCCAAGGCTTTCTTCAGCATGATTTTCATTTTGTCCCATACTTCCCCCCACCCCTCCAGCCATTGGTCAAGAGTCTGGGAGGTAGAGGGTCCTTGAGGATACTCAGCTATTGGGTTGAATTCCTTCCCCCTAGCAATCTTAAAAGGTGTAAAACCAGTGCTGCTATGAACGAGGTTGTTGTAAGCCACCTCAGTGAAAGGGAGGAGGTCAGTCCAGTTCATTTGTTGATAGTCCACGTAGCATCTAAGGTATTGCTCCACCATTGAATTCGCTTTTTCGGCCACCCCATTCGTAGACGGATGAAAAGCCAATGACAACCCCTGCGATGAACCAATTATTGCCAAAAACTTTCTCCAAAACTTGGCTGTAAATTGCACCCCACTGTCAGAGATTATGTGTTTTGATGTGCCATGTAATCTATAAATGTGTTTTAGAAACATTTTGGCCAGTTTCTGGGCTGACGGAAGTCCCTTGCAGGCGATAAAATGAGCCTGCTTTGAATAAAGATCAATCACAGTCCATAGAACCATATGTCATCTGCTTTCAGGTAACTCAACTATAAAATCCATGGCACTCTCTTCCCATGGATGGGAAGGGTCCACGATGGGCTGCAGCAGCCCAGGGGGTTTTCCTGGAATTCTTTTCATGGTGGCACATACTGCACAGCTTTTGACATAGTTTTCTACATCCTTTTTCAAACCTGGTCACCAAAACTGTTGGCAAATCAAGTGTAGCATTTTCAAATAGGCAAAATGTCCAGCTTGTTTCACATCATGACTGCGCTGTAGTGTGTGGAGGCGGAGAGTCTCAGGCAAATATAATTTTCCCCCTTTGTAGGCTAATCCATCCCTGAAGGTTAGGATGGCTTGATTGTCCTTAAACCATTGATCATTGAGGAGTTCCTGTTTCAGCTTTCTTGTCACAGGATCATCAGGGGTTGGTTTTGTCATGGGCTGGACCCTCTGTGGTATTAATTGAGACATGACCTGTGGACTAGGCATAATCAATTCGTTGACTTGTTCTTGCTGGCTCTTATACTGAGGTAATCTGGATAGAACATCCGCTAAAAAATTCTTTCCCCCCTCTTTTCCCATTTTCAGTAAGTCCATGAGAGGTAAAGCAATTTCAGCAAAGGAAAGAATGAATTGCTGATAAAAGTTTGCAAACTTCAGAAAGCTTTGAAGTTGTTTTCGAGTCTTTGGGGGTTGCCATTCAATCACAGCTTGCACTTTACCTGGATCCATCTCAATGCCCTCACTGGAGATTCAGGAACCCAGGTAATCCAGTCGGGCTTGGTGGAACTCACACTTCAATAATTTGACATATAGTTTAGCACTTAGTAGTTTCTTTAACATCTCCCACACTAAACTCACATGGTCAGTCATATTTTTGCTATAAATTAGGATGTCATCAAGATACACCAAAACCCCTTTGTATAGATGACCATGCAGCACCTGATTAATCAGCTGCATGAAGACAGCTGGAGCTCCCTGTAGTCCAAATGGCATAACTTTGAACTGATAGCTGCCCATAGGACAGTTAAAAGCAGTTTTCCATTCATCTCCTTCTTTTATTCTCACTCGGTAGTACACTTCTCTTAGATCTAGTTTGGTGAAAATTCGTCCCTTTGACAGATGGGTTAGTAGGTCCTTCAGGAGCAGGAGGGGATACTTATCCTCCACACACTCAGCATTTAACCCCTTATAATCCATGCAGAGCCTCAGCAACCTGTTTTTTTTTCCTTAAACAAAACTGGAGCCCCCACGTGGGATTTAACTGGCTCAATGAAGCCTCTGGCTAGGTTTTTATTCACATACTGCTGTAGTTCTCCCATTTCGAGGGGGGACATAGCATACATTTTTAGTTTAGGGAGCTTGGCCCCCGGTAATATTTCAATGGTGCAGTCATTTGGCCAATGTGGTGGTGGTACTACGTCACATTTCTTTTCACTAAATGCCTCCGCTAAATCCCGGTACTTGCTGGGGATGAGCAGCTCGCTGGGTAGGGGAATGGTGGCCACTTTTACTGTTTCTGCTGATGGATCTGGTTCTCTGGTAACATCAAAAGAGTTTAGAGGGGGGTTGGGTCCTATTGGCAATCTCATGGTCCTCATCCCCTTTTCCCACCAAATAAAAGGCTTCTATTTGTCTAACCAAGCTAGACCTAAAATCATAGCTTCAGTCATTTTCGGAGCTACTACAAAACGGATGAGCTCCCAATATTCACCTATTTCTAAACATATGGATTCAATTAGGTGGGTGACTAAAGTTCCTCCCATTAAAGATCCATCCGCTTGCTCAAATCTCATGGGTTTGGAGAGCAATCTTGCTTGTATGCCCATCTTAAGGGCAATCGGCAAACAGATAATGCATCAGGAGCATTCTGAGTCTACTAGCACCTTTAAGTCCATTTGTACCCCTATCTTAGGGACTAGGAGCTTGGCAGTGAGTGAGAAAGGTGGGATGGGCCACCTTTCCAAACAAATGTATGACATTGTTGATGCACCTTGTGAAATTGATAAATGTCCAGAATCCTTATATTAAAAAAAGACTCAAAACAATCATTTGGGCATTAGACCATGTATGGATGATCTTCAGGATGACATATTTGAATGCAGCGGGACAAAGAAAACATTGCCAATGTTGAGATTGTTAGTTTCATTGCTACATGGTAGAATGATTCTTTCCTGAACTTCATTAATGTCATAAGGAGATCAATCGTCCCAAAGATCATTTTTTCATGAGGCAACTGGACTTTCTTGTTTTTTTCTTTGAAGACATTTAGCTCCTCATCCAAGAAGCTTCTTCAGCTCTGACTGGATGGTGGGGAATGGAAAGATTTATACTCCTCACAGACAGCTGGTCATTTGCATTCTTTTAGAGAGCTGTTGAGGCCACTTTGAGGTTTCTATGTCCTCAAAGTCACCTGAGTAGTGCAAATGGGTATGGAGCCATCTTGGAACTGTTGAAAGGTCTGTGTTGTAGACTGGAGATAGATGATTTTATATCCCTTCCCCGCTGTTGTGAGAGGGCTGTTCAATTTCAAGAAAGTCCAGTTGCCTCATAAAAAACGATCTTTGGGACAACTATGACCTGGATGAATCTCCATAGATAAGGAGATCAGTCCTAGAGTTTATGAAGTCAGGCAACAAGGTAGAAAAACCCAGGATATGTTCAGTTTGTTGATGCCCATTTAAGGGAAATGTGCACACAACACGTGTATTAAATAAGAGGAAGCTGTTATTAATAATGATACAAAACCTTTCAATTAGACCTTCTGCCCCAGCTCAAGTATCACATGTGGCCTTCAACACTGCAAATCTTGGAAAATGCACACCCTGTTTGTTATGTCCTCGGCCTTTTGAATGACTCAGACCATGTGGTTGCCCAGGACCAGATAGGCTGTCTCCAGCCTTGTGAGCATGTGCAAGGTGGGAGACTAGCCTTGCATTGATAGGCTGATGCTGTCCCTGCAAGGGAAGTATAAAAGAGCCAGCGCCATTTTGTTTCTGTTCTGTTTGTGATCTCAATAAAGAAGTTGTGTTTGTTACTCCTGCCTCGCTTTGATGTCTCTGATTCTAAAACAGAACACTGTTCTTGCCCCAGAAGATGCATAATAGCAGGACCCTCTTGTGGGGTTTTCAGAGAGTCTGGAGGCTTGATGTGTCACATAAGTTTGCAATCACCACATTAGGGGGAGATTTTTAAATATTTTATGTGTGTTTATATCTACTTATAACCACCTTCTCTCCCCCCCTCAGTTAAACAGGGCTATTAATGGCCCTTCAAAAGTAGAGTATTGCCATCTTGGATTTTTATCCACCTGCATAGAGTAGAGCGGTCCTTCACTATGATGTCTACCTTTAGTGATCTGGCTCATATTTATAATTGGTTGCAGTGTCTTGGAGTCATGTGGTCATCTTTTGCAATCTTCTGAGTGATGATGTTGAAGTGGTTAGAACAGTGGTTCTTAACCTGTGGGTCGGGACCCCATTTGGGGTCAAACAACCATTTCACGGGGGTCGCCAAACAACGCAGGCCACCATTTTTTCCCCTTTTCCTTAGCTGTGCTACTCCCTTTTATTCTATTGGCTTTTGAAAGCCAATAGAATAGACTGTCTTGAATAGAGTCTAATTCTATTGGCTTTCAAAAGCCAATAGGAATTGTCCAGGCTGTCTCTGCCCTGCTGAGCCCGCCAAAAGTCCCATTCTGCAAACAGTGCTACACCAGTTGAGTAGTCCTCGACTTACGACCAGTTGAGTAGTCCTCGACTTATGACCGGTTGGGGATCGTGGCATTAAAAAGGTTGAGAACCACTGGGTTAGAATGTAGGATGGCAGGCTAACTCTGCTGACTGCCAGCAGTTCAATTCTCACCAGCTCAAGTTTGGCTCAGCCTTCCATCCTTCTGAAGTCGGTAAATTGAGGACCTAGATTGTTGGGGGCAAATATGCTGACTCTGTAAACCATTTAGAGAGGGCTGTAAAGCACTGTGAAGTGGTATATAAGTCAATGTATCAATGTAACAGACAAGATGGAATGCAATGGAGATGGATAATAATGTTATGAAAAGTGGATTATAGCAATATTCCTTTTGCTCATCTTATGACTGTAAATCATTTTGTTTACTCCCCCCCATGCTATGCATATTATTCCCACAAATGGTAACAGTATAATGGCTATTTAGATACAATTCCTTATTATTTCTACTTACCCCTTTTATTCCCTAGAGCAGTCATGAAAGCATCTTCTGGCCGATGAGAGAATTCTTCTGGGAAGCTGGCCATTCCTTCTTTCACAGTTTTGAATCCAGATAGCACTACTAGAAGATGAGGTCCAACCCACATGGAACATATATTTCCATATTGTTTTACAGGCTGCCAAGTGAATCAAAGTTGAGAAATGTTACAATCAAATAAAACAAAATATTTATAGTTAATAAACCATTTACAGTCTTTCCTAAATCCTCAATTCTAAGACCTTTCAACATATAGAATTGTCAGCCTTTTAGAAACTTATTTTCTCTCTCTAAGATTCCTGCCAAGAACGTCTATATGCACTTCCTTAATTTTCCTGGGTTGTTCCTTTCTCTTTGTTTCTTTCTGAAATCTGGTATCTCCTATCTGTTTGCTCCATTCTCCCTTGCTTTGAATGAGAGATCAATCGGAATACAGCTGGAAGGGACCTTGGAGGTCTTCTGTCCAACCCCCTGCTCAAGCAGAAGCCTTATACCATTTCAGAGAGGTGGCTGTCCAGTCTTTTCTTAAAAACAACTTCTCAAGGCAAGCTGTTCCACTGGTTAATTGTTCTCACTGTTAGGAAGTTTCTGCTTAATTCCAGGTTGCTTCTGTCCTTGAATAGTTTCCATCCATTGTTTCTTGTCCGGTCCTTTAGTGCTTTGGAAAGCAAGTTGATCCCCTCTTCTTTGTGGCAGCCTATCAAATACTGGAATAATGCTATCACGTCCCCCTTGTCGGACCCTGCGAGGCCTAGCCATCCGGATGGGTGGAGTCGTTGCCTGCTTACCGCTCCACAGTCCGGCAGGGTCCCGTCATCCATGTTGCCGCCCTACGTCTCCCCACGCCATTGTGGCTGACCGCCGTCCTGCTGTTCCCAGTGCCATTGTGGCCGACCGCCGTCCTGAAGCGCTGACGTCTTCGGGAGGCACCCTGCTTTGTTTCCTACTGTTGGGGCTGAGTGCTGTCCTCCCAGCCCACTGACGTCATGAGGGGGTGCCCAGTTCCATTTGCTGCTCTTTGGGCTGTTTGTATTTCTCCTGGACTGTGGGCATTCTGCGGAAGAGCCTCACTGGGTCTGACAGCGTCTAGGCGGTCCACGAAGCCGGACGGCAAGGGCAAAGGACTTTTTCTTACCTGGGCTACTGACAAACGGCCTTGCATGGCTGATGGCGTATTGGCAGCAGAAGAGGAGGCACAAGGGTGCTGTGTTTTGCAGGGAGAGGGGCTAGGGACTCGACGGATGCTTTCTTATAACACCACCCTAATTGTGGCTTGTTGAGTGGGGCTGGGCCAGGTAAGGGTGGGGTCTGGTGTGGGTTGGGTGTGCTTGTTGTATATAAGGCACTGGGAACAAGCCACTCCCAGTGCTAACTTTGTTTCCATATAGCAAATAAAGCTGTTGGTTGTTTAGCGTTCCTGGTTTCTGGCTTTCATTGGAGCGCAAGCAGGATGGCTTAACACCCCTAGTCCTTCTTTTCTCTAGACTGGCCATTCCCTAGACTGGCCATTCCCAAATCCTGCAACCGTTCTTTATACGTTTTTGGTATTCTTACTTCTCACTCCTCTTGTGACTGACAGATATGTGAGCCAATACTGTAGTTGTCTGAAACAGCCTGTCTTTGAATCATATATTTTAAGCACTCCGTTCAGGTTTTCAGAGGCTTTCTCAATCTCTTTGCCATCTGGTTTTTTTTTTTTAAGCCATCAACTCCTGAACTTTTCAGCTGATTGCTGTATTGACAGGACAGTCTCTAGAGACTTTGTTGTTTCTTGATCTAGTATACTTCATCAGATGGGTTGCAACCTGAATTAAGATTGGCCACAAGGACAAAACAATCTCCATAGAAACTATTGGGTAAGTTGTTGAAATAATTGATCAACTTCCTTGTGGTAGATGACTCAGGCAGAGAAGGTGGAGGAGAGTCTTATTAGTCAATAGTAGTCCCAAATCAAAAAGAGTCTAGTAACACCCGTTCACACTTTAGAGAGCCTTATTGTGCTGTTGGGGAAAGAAGTCATCTTCAACAGAGGACAAATGCACTCCCTGCATTCCTCTCAGTGCTACAATTTGCTCAATAGGAAGCAGAGATTGCGGCAAAGTCCATTTCTCTGCCTCTAGAGAAAGATAGAAGAGCTGGAGAAAATCAGCTGCAAGTACGTACAACAAGTTTTCACTGGATTTTACTTGTTTATAACATTTGTATCTGTGTCTCTTTTATATGCCTATATGTAAACAGCCTCGATCCATTTAGATCAGTGGTTCTCAACCTGTGGGTCGGGACCCCATTTGGGGTCGAATGACCATTTCACGGGGGTCGCCAAACAACGCAGTCTGCCATTTTTTCCCCCTTTTCCTTAGCTGTGCTACTCCCTTTTATTCCATTGGCTTTTGAAAGCCAATAGAATAGACTCTCTTGAATAGAGTCTAATTCTATTGGCTTTCAAAAGCCAATAGGAATTGTCCAGGCTGTCTCTGCCCTGCTGAGCCCGGCAAAAGCCCCATTCTGCAAACGGTGCTGCACCAGTTGAGTAGTCCTCGACTTACGACTGGTTGAATAGTCCCCGACTTACGACCGGTTGGGGGGTCGCGGCATTAAAAAGGTTGAGAACCACTGATTTAGATGAACTGGGCTGTGTATAAACTTGATAAATCAATCAAATAAATATATATTCTGCCTACAGAAATGATATTGTGTAGCTGGTTTATTACTGTTGTGATGGTTTCCTTCAGGTTCCTTTTAGGATATCTCTGTTGAAATGGCAACAGAAATTGTTTCTGAGCTGAAATTTTAAAATCTGTTCAGGGAAAAGGAAGGGTTTTCCCCCCCCCCATCTATGTCTATGGAGATTCTCAGTCATCCAGGTCATGGATGTCCCAGGGTTTTGTTTTTTTTCAAAAAGCAACTGGACTTTGTTTTTCCTTGAAGATGTTTTGCTTCTCAGTTTCCCCTGGATGATCCCAGTCTTAGACATAAAGAAAAATACATAGTTAAAGTAGCCTCCGAGAAAGGAACACAAGTCTAGAAACAGATCCTAAATCAGCGGTTCTCAACCTGTGGGTTGCGACCCCATTTGGGGTCGATTGACCATTTCACGGGGGTCGCAAAGCAAGGCTGTCTGCCATTTTTTCCCTTTTTCTGGCGGGTGCCTTACCTCCCTTGGGCTGGGCCAGCTGGTGGCCCAGCCGGTGGTTGGCCTGCTCCATCTCTGCTGCTTGCCAGCTATGCCTCGGCCGGCGCTGGGGGTGGCACCACGCATGCGCGGTGCTCCCGGGCAGGGAAAGTCCTCGACTTACAACCGGTTTAGTCTTTGACTTACGACCGGTTGGGGGTCGCGGCATTAAAAAGGTTGAGAATCACTGTCCTAAATGATAGTGAGGTTATCAGCACAGTTCTGCAAACACTTTCCAGATCACTAATCTGATAAATTGTTCTCTGGCTTCTCTTAGACCAAGGAGACAAAGGGAATGAGTGTTTTCTCTCTCCATCTGAAACATTTCTCTTAAGAATGTACATTTCCAGCAGATAAATTGTTTTGTTCCCCCCCCACACACACACTTTTGTTCTTCTCTATGTAACTGTTTTTTGGTGATACATTGGTTTAAGTAAAAGTCTTTTGGTCCTTCACTGAGAATAGAATCGTCATGTTTGTGTATAATTCTAGCATCCCAAAATAATTCTACAGTAATCAGCCATTTCAAAATAATCTACTAACATATCTTGTATTTTTTGGCTTTATAACCTACATCTTGAGTTGTCTGATTCTTTTCCCTGTGATTTGTTGATGAAAAAGTGGGACCTGGAAGAAGAATGTAGCTTTCATTCTTCTTCTTCTTCTTTTGCCATATCCGTTATTGGACGTTGGCAATCATGTTGGCAATCCTGTTTTTATCAGCAGCTGCACAAAAAAGTGCTGCTGAGTTTTGTCCAAACCAAGCCCTTAGATTTTGAAGCCATGATGTTCTTCTTCTGCCTGGACCTCGTTTGCCTTCAATCTTTCCCTGGAGGATTAAATGGAGTATGCCGTATTTTTCTGGGTGTCGCATCACATGTCTGAAATATTCTAATTTTCATTTTTTAATTGTTTTGATGATTTCCCTTGGCTTTCCCAGGTGCCTGATCACCTCCTCATTTCTGATCATGTCAACCCAGCTTATATGTAACAGCCGCCTGCAAATCCACAAAGATTTCATTATCTAGACAAAAGGGTTGTTTCCAGTGGTGGGATTCAGCCAGTTCACACCAATTTGGTAGAACTGGTAGCTATTTTTTTTGTTGCCCAGGCCCAGAATAGACTTCCAGAAGCATCATCCATGCAGAGAACTGGTTGTTCACATATTTGTATCCCACCACTGGTTGTTTCAACAGTACTTATCACACAATGACTAATTACAGTTGTGACTATTGGAGGAATATTAATAGAGTATGATCATTCCACCAATAGTAGCGTCCAACTAAATGATGTTCCCCATCACACATAGTTTCTTGAAAACTACTTCTGAATATTAAAAAATTAGGTAAGAGTCTTGGTGCAGGATAACCTGCCAGAAGTAGAGAGGTGGTTCAATTAGACTTTATAACCTCCAATATCTAGGTCAGTGGTTCTCAACCTGTGGGTCGGGACCCCATTTGGGGTCGAACGACCATTTCACGGGGGTCACCAAACAACGCAGTCCGCCATTTTTTCCCCCTTTTCCTTAGCTGTGCTACTCCCTTTTATTCTATTGGCTTTTGAAAGCCAATAGAATAGACTCTCTTGAATAGAGTCTAATTCTATTGGCTTTCAAAAGCCAATAGGAATTGTCCAAGCTGTCTCTGCCCTGCTGAACCCGCCAAAAGTCCCATTCTGCAAACGGTGCTGCACCAGTTGAGTAGTCCTCGACTTACGACCGGTTGAGTAGTCCTCAACTTACGACCGGTTGGGGGGTCGCGGCATTAAAAAGGTTGAGAACCACTGATCTAGGTCATACTATATCACATACCAAGCATATATTAAGTATCTGTATAGACAAACCTGTTCTACTGCTTCCTTCTCCAACCAGCTACATATGAATCATTATCTAAAACAGATATAACTCTTCAGAACTCAGATTCAGACATTTGAAATCAGAACTTATAGAACTGCAGAACTGCAGAATTAGAAGGGGTCATTTAGGCTATCAAGTTCCACCCATTATCCACTGTAGGGAATACAAAATAAAGCATCTTCAACAGAGGAATGTCTAGTCTCATTTGAGCAGAATAAAGGAGAAACCATCCCTCTCTCTGGTGAATTTGTTCCATTATCAAACATTTTGTCAGAATCCAATTATATTTCATCTCTAGTTATCAACTATAGAAAGCCCCATTCCTGCCTTCCCTGGATTCTGTCATACAATGAAGGGAAGGGGGTGAACAAAGGGGCTTTATGTCCCTCACTTCCTTCAGTACACTTCAAAGAGACTGGATGTGGATACCACCAAAAGGACTAACCATAACAATGGGGCTATTACCTTTCATGTACTCCTCTCTGATGTCTACCTCCTGTCGGCAGTGAGAGAAAGGGGGTGAGAATGTAATGCCTGGGACTGTCGCTGGAAGAAGGGGGTGATGGGGGGAGCTACTGGGGAACCCCTTAAAACCTTGAATGGGAGAACTTGGACCCCAAGTCCTGTCTAGAATGCCTGCAATCAGTTTCTCTTAATAATGATGCCTGTTGGAAGAAAGATTCCAAGAGTTCTGTCTTCTTAAGATGCAAAGTGGGGTGGGTCCTTACACATAGTAATCTGCCTTCTAAAATAACAATCCCATTATTTCACATCCTGCTCTGTGAAAGGTTGATGACCAGGTCTCAGCTTGAATATTCTGGCTTGATGAGGAACATATCTAACCAAGCATTATCACTAGCACTTGATTAATTAAATTCCTCATCCTGCAGGGATATTTTACTGGGTTAATACATTTGTTTATAATTATGATACAAGGAAAACAATAGAATATTATTTTGCATATTACTGGTTGATTATTTAGAATGAAATACCTTACGGAAATAATCTTCACGAAGCCAAAACCCATAAGCCCACAAGGTTCCAATGAGAGGTAGAGCCAAAGGACCAGGAGGCAAATGTCTTCGGGACCAGAGTTGCCTCAGGAAGAAGAAAATAAGCAGAGCAAGCAGCAAAACAAACAAAAATGCTCCCATCGCCATCATTGTCCTGCTGGTTCTTTATTTCTCTGATGGGAAAAGAATAGCAACATGTTGTTTAATACTCTGCCTAACCCGTGTTGGTACTTTGTGAGCAAGATGTTATTTGATAACATGAGCAAGGATGAAATTATAGGTAGAGAGCTATAGGTGTTTTCAAATACTTATCTAAAAATGATCTCACCATGCCAGCTGCCTAATCCATGTACACAACTGGAAATGATCCATATTACAACTTCACAAGGAACAATTGCCCAATTCTGAAACATCATAAGGCTTGGTAGCACAGAGGTTAGAATAGGGTATTGCAGGCAAATTTTGCCCACAGCCTGGAGTTCAATCCTGATGGCTCCAGGTTGACTCAGCCTTCCATCCTACTGATGTTGGTTAAATGAGGATCCAAACTGTTGGGGACGATATGCAATTAATGCTTCTACATTGTAAATCCTCCCCCCCCCCAAATAATGCTGTAAAGCTCTATGGGTGGTATAGAAATTTAAATGCTATTGTCATTGCTGTCACCTTAATTTGGGTTAAAAAGGTTATTTCTGACCATGTGCCCCAGTAATAATATCTCTCCGTGGGGCTCTTCTGAGTGGCTTAGGAAAATAAAATGGGGGGAAAGAATTAAATCAATGTAAACTTAGCAATAGCAAAGGAAAAAACAATACAAATAAATAATGGAATAATAAATAATATGAAATTTTAAAAAGGGGTGGAAGGGGAGCAGAAGCTCAGCCACCTCCAGTGATATTGGGTCACTGTTGGGTTCCCAGGCCAAGAAGCACAGTCAGGTCTAAAAACTCTTGCAGAAGGATAGGAGGATGGGAGCAAACCTTACCCTGGGAACAGGATGTTCCAGAGAACTGGTGCTACAGCAGAGAAGATTCTTCTCCTGGATCCCTTCAGTCAGAATTCCTCGACCAATGGGATCCTCAGTAGGTCTCCGCTGCCAGCACGGTGGGCTTGTCTTAGCAAGATGAGATGGTTCATCAAGTAATCTGGATCTATGCTTTAAAAGGTCATAACCAACACCTTGAACTACACCCAGAAGCAATGTGGATTGTCTATCCAAATCCCAATCAAATCAAACCAGTAGGCCAAGAAAACTTTCAAACCAAGAGTTGTTGGTTTGTTTGTTCCTCAAGATGATATTACACCACTTAAAATAAGCTAAGTCTTTGAAGTGACTGGTTCAACACAAATCATCCTCCCAAATGCACCAATCACTGAAGACATTGGACATATCCTTGTTGACTGCAAGCTCCACTTTGAAGAAAGAACTGCTTATTTAGATTCTTATTAAAAACTAAAAAGTACTGTACAAGCTAGGACTGTGGTAGTGAACCTATGGCATGGGTGCCACAGGTGGCACGTGGAGCCCTATCTGTGGGCATGCGTGCCATTGTCCCAGTCCTAGGCCTTCAGTTGGGTTTTATAAAACTTTTTCACTATAGGCCTCGCCACCATGTGCAAAAAAAAAAAAAGTTCAATCAATCAATTTCAACTTCTTGTGGGAAAAAAAGATCTCGCAAAATTGGAATTGATTGAAATTTTTAGTCCCACCCAATCTGCCGTTATAACCATAGCCACACCCACCCAATGGGCCATGCTCACCCAATGGGCCACACCCACTCGATACCCAATGATACATAAGAGGGTTTTGGGTTGCAGTTTGGGCACTCGGTCTCTAAAAGGTTCGCCATCGCTGAGCTAGGAGAAACTGTTTTTCTTTTTGTAGGGAATGGACCTACATATCCTTATTAAGATCGCACTCTATGTCAAAGGCCATTTTGTAGAGAACAGAATATTTAGACCAGATTAGGGTTATCTGCAGGAGGGACAACTTACTATGAACACATCCTCTTGTTTTCTTTGCATCTACTAGAATATTTGCATTAGTTTTACTTTTTGATATGATTAAATGACTAAATCAGTAAAGCTTTTGTTCTGTTTCATTCTGAGATATTTTGCATGATGAGGAATACACAATTCTGAGAGCAGAGCAAATTTATCATAGTGGAATGAGGAGCTGGACCAGAGCTGGACCAGAGAGAATGCGGGAAAAGTAATTAATGTAATTAAATACAGTACCTTCAGCAGCATGAGAAACAAGCAGTTTTATTTTTTCTAGATGCAGAGAAAGCCTTCGACCATTTAATTAAACCTCTACGTTCAAGGTTTTAGAGGATATGGACTTTGGATAGAAATTTATTCAAGAGGTCAGATTAATTTATACATCTCAACAAATACACATTTATTGTTAATGGTGTTGATGGCGATTTAAATAAGGTGTGTGAAATCCAAAAGGGCATGAGACAAGGATGTCCTCTGTGTCCACTGTTGTTTATTTGAGTGCTGGACATTTTCAACAAAGAAAAATAATGGGTATAAAAAAATTAAGAATGAAACGTTATAAACTGAGAGCTTTTGCTGATGATTTAGTTATTTTTCTGTAAGATGCCAAAAGTGGTATGGAATATTTGATGAAGAAGCTGAACGACTTTGGAGGTTTATCCAGTTTCAAAATTAATAAAGACAAAAACAAAAATGCTGGTTAAAAATAAAAATATCCAAGACTGAACTTCTGATGGAGAAGTCAAGTTTTAAGGTGGAGGAAAGAGTTAAATACCTTGGGGTGATGCTTACAAATACAAATTCTAAATTGTTCCAAAACAACTTGGAACATTCATGAAAATCAGGTGTACCATTGATTGAGATTTGCCAGCCAGGTTTTCAACTCTTATAGCAGCCATGACTCCAAGTTACAGGAAGAGAGATGGAAATGATCTTTTGAGAGAACATGGCGGTATCAAGATGATTTGTTCCTTCGGTAGCTGTATGTAGGACCCTGCATAGGAATCAAGTATAAGCCATGAGTACTGCTGATATACTGCCTTCCTCACTGACCATGCCTTTGACCTCATTGTCCTGATGTTGGTAAATTCATCCACACATCTTATATTCAAAAACATCAATCTCTATGTGATCAGAGCATGGTCTAAGTCAGTGGTTCTTAACCTGGGCGATATTGCTCCCCAGGGGAAGATTTCATTTTTCAGGGGGGCGATGGAACAAAAAGGAGTGATGTGGGGGCAAAGGAACGAAAAGGGGGCAATATGGGGGCGATGGAGCGAGAAGTTTTGGGGACACTTTTGAGACTATTTCATACAGTGAATCGCTGCATATCTGTCGTACAAAAACATCAGATCACTCGCTATTAGTGGATTGAATTGTGTTTTCAAATGTTCCTCCAGCTAGCTTCAGTACAGAACGCCGTACATATGTGAATACGCATTGCTTATCTTCATGCGCATTGCGCAGCAGCCTCTACCCGTACAGTGGCACGCCATTGGCCAGAATATGGGAGATATGGGAAAAAGACTGGAAATAAATTAGTTGCATTGATATGTCCTGGTGACAATTTTAAAGAAAACAAAAAAAGTGTTTGCATAAATTGAAGAATTATTTCCTATGTTGTGATTGAGAGGTTATGTTGGGGGAGGGGGGTGATGACAACTTCCTCATTGGCTCAAGGGGGCGATTTGTTCAAAAAGGTTAAGAACCACTGGTCTAAGTGACCTAGAAATTCATGGCCCCCAAGACAAAACCAAGAAGTTATCATGATGCTAACTCACACTGAGAGCCAACACACAATTGGTCCATTTTTTTTCTCAACTAGCATGGGATCTGAAGATCAAGGACATTCACTCAGTCATGGTGAGATTATTTTCCATATACCAGGAACTTGCTGCTACCACCCACCACTCTGTTTAGGAGGTATCATCTGGTTTCTGCAGCCATTTGCCGAATGTCCCAGAAGCCTGGCAGCCCCTTCCATTGGGTATCTACTCAATCTCTTGAATATAAAGGGAACAAAGGTACTAGTCAGGATTAACCTCAAGGGGGCGCTTTCTTTGCACTGATTTAGAGGAAGATTTTGAATAATCAAAGGATTCTGGGAAAGGAATTGCCAGAAAAGACAACTGGAGCAATACTGGCAAAAAAAAAAAATTCTTTAGGGAACGTTATATGGAAAGTAATTAGACTGTAACCAGAGAGGGCTCTAGATGATCCAATCTACATTCAGGCCTAAGTATGAGATGAAAAATGAACTGGTTACTCTTGCGGATGTTCTGCCCTGGGATGTGGATAGGAGGCACAACTTTCTTCATCTTCTGTTAATTCTGTTAGCAGCAATTCATCCCTTCAAGCAGGATATCATTTTGGACTATCTGTGAAGTTTGGTCTGGCTGGAGAAAATGAAGCCCACAGCAATATGTTTTATTGGCATCCAGAAAGAAACAAAGGTTAATAACAAGCTTAATGTCCATGGAGTTTCTCAATTATCCAGATCATGGTTATTTCAGAGGTGCTTTATTCTAAAAGGCAACTGGACTTTCTTGAGTTTTTTTTTTATTTGAAAACCTTTCACTTTTCATTCAAGAAGCTTCTTCAGTTCTGATTGACTGGTGGGGAATGGAAAGATTTATATTCTTTGCAATCATCTAAACATTAGCTCTCTGAGGACTGCTTTTAAGCTAATGAAGAAAGTGCAGTTGCTTTTTGGAAGAAAGAACCTTTGGGACGTAGTAAGCTTAGTTAGCCCATTTTTCACCCACATATTCCTAGTCTTTGGTTGACCTAGTTGGGTATGTTGTATGAACCCAACGATAGGTTGAAGAAGTTTCAGTATTGAGCAAATAGAAGAAAATGCAATATTAAGTGAATAAGAAACATTTATCATACTGAATAGCTACTCTATAATCATTTTATCCTTTTTATAGTGTTTACGTTTAAGCCTTTGTGGGAATAGCACACAGTTTGTAAGGGTGTGGATTCATTGTCGCTTTTACAACAGGGGCTTCATTGAGTACTTTCACTCCTGCAGGCAACCGGAAGCTGAAGGCCTTCAACAGGCTGGTCAGAAAGATGAAGATCTCAATTCTTGCCAGCAGCTCTCCCATGCATACGCGTTCACCTGTAGATGATAAAAGCATGCATCAAGGGAGTCATAATCAGTACTCTAGAATATTTCCCATCAGGAAGGAAATCTGAAGGGATTTGTAATGGATGAAATAGATTTTCATGTTGAACCCTGGTATCTTCTAGCAGATTCAATTCCTAGTGCTACCTATTCCTTTTTATTCTGTTTATTGACACTACCTGGGGGTAGGGGATCCCTTTCTTCCTGGCCCAAACAGAGTAATTGTTCCTGTGGCATTGGACTCCCTTTGATGTCTTTCTCCTCAGGGATTTAAATATTCGTGCTTACATTGTCAGTTCAGAAATAAGACAATTTAGGGCCTGGAGATGAAAACATATGAAGAACAGTTGCAGGAATTGGTATGGCCAGTCTAGAGAAAAGAAGGACTAGGAGTGACATGATAGCAGTATTCCAGTATTTGAGGGGTTGCCATAAAGAAGAGGGAGTCAAGCTCTTCTCCAAAGCGCCTGAAGGCAGGACAAGAAACAATGGATGGAAACTAATCAAGGAAAGAAGCAACCTAGAACTAAAGAAAAACTTCCTAATAGTGAGGACAATTGACTAGTAGAACAGCTTGCCTTTAAAAAATGTGGGTGCTTCACCACTGGAGGTTTTTCAGAAAAGACTGGACAGCCACATATCTGAAAGGATGTAGGATCTCCTGCTTGAGCAGTAATTTGGACTAGAAGATTTCCAGGTTCCCTTCCAGCTCTATTCTGATTGAAATGGCTCAGGATGTCAGCTTTGCTGTGATTGCCATGGATCTGTCCCAACTACTGTTGGATCCCAGGTGAGAAAATAAATTGCCAGAATATTGATGTGGGGAGAGAGAATTCTCCTGCCTCCTTCAGTTACTTTCAGTTCATTGACCATGCATCTCTCTGGTCCATTGGTTGGAGTTGGGCTTTGGGGCCACAGTGGTTCCAGTCCTTCCTGTTGGACTAAGCCTAGAACAGAACAGAACAGAATAGAATAGAGCTGGAAGGGACCTTGGAGGTCTTCCAGTCCAGCCCCCTGCTTGTGCAAGAGAACCTATACCATCTTAGACAGGTGATTGTCTAGTCTCTTCTTAAAAATGTTCAGTGATGGAGCGCCCACAATCTCTTAGGGTAAGCTGTTCCACTGGTTGATTGCCCTCACTGTCAGGAATTTTCTCCTTAATTCCAGGTTGCTTCTCTCTTTGATCAATTTCCAACCATTGTTTCTTGTCCTTTTCTTTGGTGCTTTGGTGCTCTGGTGAACAACCTGGCCCTCTCTGCCTTGTGGCAGCCCCTCAGATACTGGAACACTGCTATCATGTCTCCCCCGTTACTTCATTTCTTTAAACTAGCCAGACCCAAGTCCCACAGCCGTTCTTCATATGTTTTAGCCTCCAGGCCTTTGATCATCTTAGTTGCTCTTCTCTGAATTTTTTCCAAACTCTCAACATCTTTTTTATGATATGGTGACCAAAATTGGCTGCAATATTCTAGGTGTGGTCTTACTAGGACTTTGTAAAGTGGTACTAGTACTTCGCCTGATCTTGATTCTTTGCCTCTGTTTATACAACCCAGGATTGTATTAGCTTTTTTGGTTGCTGCTGCACATGGCTGGCTCATAGTCAAGTGATCGTCCACTCACAGTTACTATTTTTAAGCCAGGTCTCACCCAATCTGTATTTGTGCCTTTGGGTTTTTCCTGCCTAAGTGTAAGACTTTGCTTTTCTTCATGTTGAAACTCATTTTATTGGATAGGATCTATTGTTCGAGTTTGTCAAGATCTTTTTGGATCCTGAGTTTGTCTTTGGAGGTGCTGGCTCCTCCTGACAGTTTGGTGTCATCTGCAAAGTTTTCCTTCAATTCCCTCATCTAAGTCATTTATGAAGATATTGAAGAGTACTGGGCCTAAGATGGAACCTTGTGGTACCCCATTGCTAACTTCTCTCCATGTGGATGTAGTGCCATTGAGGGTACGGTTTGTCAGCCAGCTACAGATCCATCTGGTAGTGCTGTTGTCTATTCCACCTTTTTCTAGCTGATTCCACAGGATTATGTACAAAAGGTGATTTTCAGGGATTACTGCTTTGATCACTGATGCTGGTTGAGCAGATCATGGAAGTGGAGCAACATCAGTATGGCAGAACTCCCATGTTTAATATTTCCAACCACAAACGATAGGGAGAGTGAAACTCAGTTTGATTTCTAGCTCTCCTTGCTTAAAACCCCTTCAGATGACTTTTAGCTGCCTGGGGAATTTCTGTGGAGATTCTCAGTCATCCAGGTTATGGTTATCTCAAAAGTGCTTTTTCAAAAAGCAACCGGACTTTGTTTTTTTCTATGAAAATGTTTTGTTTCTCATCCAAGAAGATTTTTCAGTTCTGACTAAATGGTGCAAGATGGAAGGATTTGCTGCAAGGAATACAATAATTCTGTGGTCCAGATCCATCAGCAAGAAGCTACAGTTAAGCAAGAGTTCTTTGGATTTAGCTAATAATTCTCCCCAAGCACTAGAGATAACTGTACAGTCTTGACCATATATTACAAACCTCCAATAGTAAAATTACAGTCTAACTATTTCTTCATTGTTCAAAGTTTATAGCCCAAGGAAAGTTCAGACTCTCTTAGTTTTGAAATTAGAAGGAATAAGGATCCCTTGGTTTACTGGTTCACATCATGATGATCTCAGAACAACTCAGGGATGGGAAGGGTGAGAATCTATAAGTTATAAGCTGTTTGGGTTCATGGAGATACCTATTCCGAATGGCAGAAACTCTTCCCGTTCAATGAACTTCCCATCCTTATCTAAAAAGTGATTTGGGTTGAATTCTTCAGGTGTCTCCCATTGTTCTGGGTCAAGAAGAACAGAGCGCAGGTCTGGCAAAATCATGGTCCCCTGCAAACAAAGAGATGATTAAACAGAACAGTTTCATAACTGAAATGGGTAAAAAAATATAAACAAAGAGATGATTGAACAGGTTTTTAAAAAGTACAAACCATATTGATGAAGCATTTGGTTTTAGCTTGCTTTTATGAACTCATACTTGTTCATTTCCATAGCAGTTTTAGAGAGCAGTAGCTGCTCTACTGTTTAGCATCCTTTCTTCCATCCATTAAAACAGAGAGCTGGGTGTATATTTATCACATCAGATTGCTCCAAGAAATGGACAAAGAAACATGCCCAGATACAACTACAATTCTGAACTTAAGTTCAGCTTTTAATCACTTCCCACCTTCCTAGAATAAATAGAAAAAATTATGGTTCTAGCTTCAATATCTGAGAGGTGTTTGGATTTAAAATCATAGACCATCCTTCAAAAAAGATTGCTATTCTTGGTTATTCATTTTTGCATGATTACATTGACAGTTTCTGAACAAAGAGCTTCTGTCATATTCTGCTTTTCCCTCCCTAAAGGACTACTTCAATACAGTCTGAACATGTTTCTCACCTTTGGAATGTGGTAACCCCTCATCTTCACATCCTTTGTACTTTGCCTGGGAGCCCCAGCTACAAAGACATATTTTACACGCTGCATTTCATGAATCACAGCATTGGTGTAGGGCAGCTTCTTCCGATCCTGATAGGAAATTGACCGTGAGAAGCCAAACACATCTTCAATCTCTTTCTGGACTTTCTCTTGAAAAAAATGATGGAAATAGAAGCTTTATTTTACTCATTCAACCCTGTTGCCCCCAATGTTCTTCAGAGGATCCAGTCTTCTTCAAGTTATTGCCAGCTTCTGGGCTCCAATTCCTGATTTGCAGCCCCATTTGGACCTCCGATCCCAGTTGCCATCTCATTGGCCTTTATGCCGCTATTGCACCTTACAGAGGGCTCCAAATCCATGTCTGATCTCTGGGCACTGCACTGCTTCCATTGGCCTCTGATCTCTGATCTGGGCCATGTACTTCACTGCCAAGGCCCCAGTTGACTCTCTGGGCCAGTTCTTGCTTTCAGTCCCCACCAGCTTGTCATTTATTTATTTATTTATTTATCTATGAGACTTATATACTGCTTTAAGTGCAAGCACTCTCTAAGCGGTGTACACCAGTAAGCAATATATATATATATATATATATATATATATATATATATATATATATATATATATATATATATATATTTACATTGCCCCCAACAATCTGGGTCCTCATTTTACCTACCCCGGAAGGATGGAAGGCTGAGTCAACCTTGAGCTGGTGAGATTTGAACTGCTGACCTGCTGAACACAGTCAGCTAAAGTGGCCTACAGTACTGCACTCTAACTGCTGCGCCACCTTGGCTCTGTCATCCTTCTGGGCTGCAGCTCCAACTCTCAAGTTGGCTCTTCACTATGCCTCCACCAGTCTTTTGCCCTCAGCATACACTCTCCCCACCTTGGCCTCTAGGCCTGCAACCCTTTCAGACTGGCACTGGGTTAGACTCAGCCTTGGCTCTCCACCTCCTACCAGTCCCTCATTATGCTGCTCCACTCACACACACACATGCTTAGAATGGAAAGTTCATGGACACATTGTTCCAGCAACACCCATTACTTTGCATGGGATTAAATAGGAAATGCCAGTAGAGCCTGTCCCAATGAGAAGATTGTCTCATCGTGAAAAACGTGGCTGACCAGTGTTCCACCTTTCTACTCTCAACCATTTGCATCCTTAGATTTGGAGGAGGTATGGACTCCATCTCCTCATCCTCACTGACTGCCAGCATTTGCTCGCGTTCTCCACTTAGATCCTCCAGGCTCACCTGGGGCAACTGCGGCTCCCTCGGCTCTTTCTCAGTCTGCCACACATCCAATAATGCTGGCAGTGGATGTCCTGTCAGTCTGGGGCCCTCCGCTCCCTGATCCACCTCTCTCTGCACTACATCCCCTTTTTCCCAAAATGTCAGGACCTGGCTCCTCCTCCTGCCCCTCCTCCTCTGAACTCATATCTGGAGAGCGGTCTTAAGGACAGTCCATTACACTCATCCTGGTTGTGTACCTCTATGTAATAATAATAATAGTAGTAGTAAAGTTCGAAGGGACCTTGGAGGTCATCTAGTCCAACCCGCTGCTCGGGCAGGAAACCCTACACCATTTTGGACAAATGGCTGTCCAGTCTCTTCTTAAAAACTTCCAGTGTTGGAGCATTTACTGCTTCTGGAGGCAAGCGGTTCCACTGATTAATTGTTCTCACTGTCAGGAAGTTTCTCCTTAGTTCTAGGTTGCTTCTCTCCTTGATTAGTTTCCACCCGTTGCTTCTTGTCCTGCCTTCAGGTGCTTTGGAAAATAGCTTAATTCCCTCTTCTAGAATGGCTCTGCCACCTCCACCCAAGATCTGTTTCCAGGATCTGCACTGATTGGCAAGGTGAGCATACAAGCTTTGGCTGCTTCCTGACTCTGGACCCATCCCCTGTCTTTGCCATGCCATCCTAGTTCAGTCCCTTTAGTCTCCAGCTTCCAGCCAAGTAGAAGGCCAGGAAATAGCAGAACAGAAGAAGGTAGAGTTTAGGAGAAGATTGATGGGTTCATGCTCTGAGTGACAAGAAACCACCCACAATTCTCCCATCTCTTCTCTTCGGGGCAGGAAGCCTTGTGTTGTGTATCTGCTCATCCCGCCATTTTGATTTTTTCTATGTTAATTATCATACTGAAATTTGGTCTTCTATATGTAATTTACACCAAAAAAACAGTAACAAATCTGAAAACCATGGTAGATGTCTTCATTGAAAGAGTTAAATGTTTCACATTTGTGCTGATTTCCAGTTTTTAGTTCCTCATGGAATATTTTATTGAGGATTTAAAGAAGGCTCCTAGTTTATTTATTTAGCATATGGCAGGCTCTCAGTATGTACATACTTTGCTCACCTTTAATCCCACTAACTTCATACTCCTGCTTATAGAATCAAGAATCTACAAAGGAAAATTATTGTGAAGAATCGATTTCAAATAAATTCTGTGAATTTTAAAACCTGAGAGTGACTCTTGATCCACTAGCCATGTCTGTCTCACCTTGGATGTCAGGATGATTGGTCAAGAGGAGCAGTGCCCACTTCAGAGTAATCAAGCTTGTCTCTGTTCCAGCACCGAAAAAGTCAAAAATACACTGAGCCAGGTTCTCTTCATTGTAGATAGAGTTGGGGTCATTTCTACTCTGATGTTTAAAATGGAAAATAAATATTATGATGAATTCTACCCACCTTCTCTGTAGTTATTTTTGCTTCTTTATCTAAAATCTAGAGAATAAATACATCCCTAGGGGTTATAGTGGAAAACCAATGAAGGAGAGTAATAATTAAAGTGGTAGATTCATACCGAGTAAGACACTATCTTACAGTAACCAAGACCAAAGAAAGGCTCAGCTTTTGAAGAACTTTAATGCATTTTGTTTTAATTTATAATTGATTTGCTTCAGTAAATGTTTGCATATGGAACTGTGATTAATCGGTGCTTACTAGAGTGAATCACAAAAATTGAGAAGCAGCACTACTAGAATTACTGCATGCATTTTTGCATTTAAAGTTATGCTCAAATTGATGTATATGACTACTCTAACTGCCAGATTTTGTGGCTATTGTGCCACGCCATGCAGTTTAAGCAATTTTTAGAATACGGGTAATCCTAGACCAGTGGTGGTAAACCTATGGCATGGGTGCCAGAGGTGGCACTCAGAGCCCTCTCTGTGGGCACACACGCCATCACCCCAGCCCTAGCCTCCCATGACCCCCATCTCACCAGCAGCCCCCTGGAGGAAAGTCACCCCAGGCGCAGCCTGTGCAGAGCAGTGAAGCCAAGACCCGGCAGCCAGGCAGTGGGGACAAGACTCCACCCTCGCGCCCCATCGTGTACAGATGATGCTGTGAGGCACAGACAGAGGGCATGGCTACCACGACACTGCTGGGCCTCCTGGGCGATCTGCTGTGATGGGCCATGGGGATGGTGGGTGGCCCTGTGGGCAGGAGATGCAGGGACAGGGCAGGGTTGAGGCGGGTTTGGGGCACTCTGTCTCTAAAAGGTTCACCATCACTGTCCTAGACTTATAATCATTCATTTGGTGATCATTCAAAGTTTCAGTGGCACTGAAAAAAGTTACTTATAACAGGTTTTCATACCATTGAAGTATCTGCATGGTGTTAAACTTGATTCGAGTCTTGGTTAATCTAAAGAGCCGGGAGATTCTTTTGCTGAATGTGCCAAATGGGACAGCTGACCCATGGTCACATGATCAAAACACAGGTGCTTGCCAGCTGGCATCTACTAATTGCACTGTCCTGGGGTCCTGTGATCATCATTCGCAACCTTCCCAGCTGGCCTCTGACATTCCCATAAAGCTAACATTGTTTCATGTTTTGCAGTTAATTGGGCTGTACTTTCTGAGATCCTGAATCAGAGGTAGAATAATGGAAGTTTAAGCTGGAAAACTTCCAAAGGGAGGAGTAAAGTGGAATGAAATAGAATAACGTAGAATAAAATGAAGAATAAAATAGAATAATAATGATGATGATGAAAAAAAATCATTATTCAAGTAAAATGATGTGTCTGCATAATTCCTGGAAGAAGGCTATGTTAGCAAAAGCTGTATTAACAATATGTGACTGACCTAATGCACATTTAGAAACATTGTATAAAGTAAAACTGCCTTCATTGTATTCCCATGAGAAATGAACCTAACATGTGAGAAACTAACTGAATGATATACAATGTAAGATTCCATGTGTGCTCCCTTTGTTCCTTAGAAAGGGGAGAGCTAAAAAGATTGTAGTTTGGAACCGCCCCCCCCTGTTCAGAATTTTGCTGTGTTAAACCGGTTCTGAACCTTTGCGCAAAATAAACCTCTCTGTTTCACCCTCTGGAATTCGTAAAAGTCCTTTCGTTTTCCACAAGAAAACAAGCAAAGTCAATGAGGGAAGCCAGATTTGCATAACAATCACAGGATTTACCTCACCACTGCAATGATTCAGTAAACAACTGTAAAAAGAAAGGTTGTAAAATGGGGCAGAATTCATTTAACAACTGCCTTGCTTAGCAATAAAAATTTTTGGCCTCAGCTGTTGTTGCAAGATTCTGGTGAGACAACATAAACCTTGCACCAAACCAGTGCAAGAATCGTAGGATGACTGACACAATACAGCCCATCCACCTATTGAGGGAGAAGCAATTTGAGAAACCAACCACCATAAACAAGGCAAACAAGACAGGATGACAAATGGAAACGTTTCTAACTTCCCTCACAAAGAATGTCCTGTTGTTTAAAATATAAATTATTGCAGCCTTTTCCTTATTTTTTTTATGATAGCACAGGAGCATAAACATCTGACAGTGGTTTGTTAAAAGAACTGTGGTTTAATATACAATATGAAACAACAATATTCAGAGAGCATACAGAATACAAGGTAGTCAATTATATTCAAACAGCTGAAGAGTTAAAGATTCCAACTGTCATTCTCCTCAGAACCAGCCTCTTAAAGGGATATTACTCTCAAAATACTCTGCTGACTCATTCTCTATATATCACTTCTGCCAGTCAGCTACTAAATTATAATTATCACATCTAACTAGAGTCTAATATTGCAGAGTTGCATTATAGCTCTTATTCACATGCAAACAGAATTTAGCATGGGCTAAATTCAGAGTAGGAGCTGATTTTTTTTTTTTTTTAAAAAAAATCCTCCAAAGAAGACAGTTCCAGTGTTATAATTCCTTGCTTATGTGTTAAACTATATAGAACTCATTTTAAAAGAGAAATTAAAATGATCAAAGGCTTGGAAACTAAAACATATGAAGAACAGCTACAGGACTTAGGTTTGGCTAGTCTAAAGTAAAGAAGAAATAGGGAAGACATGATAGCAATATTTCAATATTTGAGGGGCTGCCACAAAGAAGAGGGGTCAACTATTCTCAAAGCACCAGAGGGCAGGACAAGAAAACAATGGTTGGAAACTGATCAAAGAGAGAAGCAACCTGGAATTAAGGAGAAACTTCCTAATGGGGAGGACAATCAACCAGTAGAACAGCTTGCCTCCAGAAATCATGGGCGCTCCATCACTGGAGATTTTAAAGAAGAGACTAGACAGTCACTTGTCTGAGATGGTATAGGTTCTCCTGCTCGAGCAGGGGGCTGGACTAGAAGACCTCCAAGGTCCCTTCCAGCTCTATTCTATTCTATTCTATTCTATTCTATTCTATTCTATTCTATTCTATTCTATTCTATTCTATTCTATTCTATTCCATTCTAATGTCAGTCACTGAGCTAGAAAAAGCATTTGAACAAGTACCACATGACCTATTTCTTTTCCATCCACAAATGATCCAAACTCTCACCATTCCTCTTTGTGCTCAGTATGGACACTGTAACCAGGAATCTTCCAACGTAACACACGTAGATACTATTCTTGTGGAAAAATAAAAGCCTTAAAAAAAGGACTTTTACGAATTCCAAGGGTGAAAGAGAGGTTTATTTTTGCGCAAAAGGTTCAGAAGTGATTAACAATCAGCAAATTTCTGAACAAGGGGGCGGGTCTAAACTAAAGCTTTATAGGTTTCTTTTTCTCAGGAACAAAAGAAGCATAGATGGAATCTTGCATTGTATATGGAATCTACTTTGTGTAACATTCAGTTAGTTTCTCACACGTTAGGTCCATTTCTCATGGGAATACAATGAAGGCAGTTTTTACTTTTATACAATGTTTTTAAATATGCATTAGGTCATTCACTTACTGTTAATACAGCTTTTGGCTAACACAGCTTTCTTCCAGAGATTATGCAGACACATGATTTTTGCTTTTAGTGATTTTTCATTATTATTATTATTATTCTACTTTATTCTTCTTTATTCTATGTTATTCTATTTCTTTCCCACTTTACTATTATATGCTGATGTTACCATGATGGAAAGTCAAACATGAATAACCCTCAGATCATTAATAAAAAAGTGGAAAACTGCTTTAATGATATAGCAATGAGGGACAGTATTAAGAAGACTGTACATCTTGACTGTGGGGGCCATACCAATGGTACATGACTGATGATGTCAGATTGTAAATAAAGGCGCCCAGTGCAAAATAACTTCAAATCAATAAAAGATGCTTCTAAAAATAATCAAATATATGAAAATATTAGAGAGGAGGACTTTTTCTTCCTTGTTTCAAACTGTTTTACTCTTTTACTGATGGTCAAAGGCGGTAAAAGTATCTGCCCTTTACCGAACATTTCAGGGAAAGTATTCTTTTAAATTTGAATTAATCAAGAGTCCCTGTTAATTATTTTTCTTCTTAATGGAATTACTTTAGAAAAAGGGGAAAGAAGTGATGGGCAAACATGTGACGATGACAAATGATAATAAATCTAACTTATCCATGAAAGAACCTCCCTTGTCTATTAAGAGTTTAAGATTGCAAAGGTACAATATAGCTCTTATATAGAAGCTACCTCAATTAACATGGGCTAAATTCAGAATAGGAGCTAGATGAAAAAGAAATAACTCCACTACCTCTGGCTCCTTGTCTTTACTTATAGCAGTGGTTCTCAACCTTTTTAATGCCGCACCCCCAACCAGTCGTAAGTCGAGGACTACCCAACTGGTCATAAGTCGAGGACTACCCAACCGGTCGTAAGTCGAGGACTTTCCCTGCCCGGGAGCGCCACGCATGCATGGTGCCGCCCCCTGCACCGGCCAAGGCGTAGCTGGCAAGCGGCAGAGACGGCGCAGGCCGACCACCGGCTGGGCCACCAGCTGACCCAGCCCAAGGGAGGTAAGGCACCCGCCGGGCCCCACGCACGCCAGCAACCCTCCCTGCGCCTGACGGCCTCCCACCTCCCACCCCTGGCCCTCTTTTATTTACATTTTTAGTAGTTGCTCAGCAGGGAGGGGTGGAAGCTTCCAGACAGCTCGCCTTCGCTGCAGACAACTTGCAGTACCGTTTGCAGAATGGGGCTTTTGGCGGGCTCAGCAGGACAGAGACAGCCTGGACAATTCCTATTGGCTTTTGAAAGCCAATAGAATAAAAGGGAGTAGCACAACTAAGGAAAAGGGAAAAAAATGGCAGATTGCGTTGTTTGGCGACCCCTGTGAAATGGTTGTTCGACCCCAAATAGGATCCTGATCCACAGGTTGAGAACCACTGACTTATAGTGAGAAATGTAATAATTCCTTTCCCAGGAATTGAACTACAATAAACCCATACCTTCTCCATCTGAAGTAGATAGTGATCAATGAAATCTTGTGGTTCATGCAGAGAGCTGGATTCCTTGTGTTTCTCTATTTCCTGCTTTGCAAAGGAAATGATCACCTCCACAGAAGCCAACCCATCCTTGTGAGGGCCCGGGACATACTTCATTAATTGTGGGAACACCATGTTCATCTAACAGAAATGGAAAAGGAAAAGTTTGTTTATTTATTCCCCACCACAACAAAAGAAGACTCTTAGCAGCTCACAGTAAGAGACAGCATTGAATAACCAAAGAAAAACATTGCAAGCACATTGAAACATGGCAAACAATCATTGGTGTCAAACCTCAAAAGTCCTCCAGAAAAGCTGTTTTCAAATTCTTGTACAAAAGAATGATAGAGACAGATCGTCTTAGTTGTTCATCTCTGCACTCTTTCCAGAGTTTCAAGATCTTTTTTTTTTCATGGTCATCAAGACTGGATGCAATAATGCAAGTGTGCATTATTAAGCCACACTAACCTTTTATATGATCTTGATTCTACCCCTCTGTTAATGCAGCCTAGGACTGTGTTGGCTTTTTTGGTGACTGCAGTAAAAGAAGTTCTAGAAGTCATGACTGACTCAAGGACAGACACACCTACTGGGGAATAATACTACAATAGATGAAGTCTTCCTCCACAGATTCCATTCAGTTACATGAAAATACTGATAGAAACATAGGTTTTGAGGGAGCTTTAATATAAAACACAACTCACCGCTTGAAAAAAGCCACCAGTATATTTCACAACAGTTTCAAGGGCTTGAATTAACTTCTGGAAGTTTTCGTCTTCAGGAGCAAACTGATGTCCAAAACTCAAAGCACATATGACATTAGAAACTGCATTTATCACTGGAAATGAGGGGTCAAATGGCTGTCCTGCAAGTGAAGGAATTTTATAATGAATTTTTAAGGAACAGAGCTTGTAAGGGGATGAAGAAACAGAATTGGGACTTCGGCCAATTGTTTCAAAAGGTAAAAAAAATCAAATCAAATACATCTATTCTTGTTTGAATTACGCACAAAGGAAAAAAAAATTCTGCAGATTGAGACTTGCATCATTACCCCAAATTACATACCTTTTGTTTGTCTGAAGACCTCTACCAATGTCTGAGCAACTTCTTCTATTCTGTGCTCAATGCTTTTTTTCCCCAGGCCCAGCTTCCGCAGAGAAATGATGCCAATGTGCCGCTGCTGTTTCCAGGTGTGACCATTGGAAATAATAATTCCTGTGGGCATCAGCAGACAATGATAAATGATTCCTGGGGACATTCATGTTAAAAAAACAGTTAAGTCTGGTCCTTGCGGAATATGTCTCTGGATTTCAGGTAGGAATACCAAACCTTTGTGACATGTCGCCATTTTGCAATATTCCAGCTATGTTATTTTTTATTACAAAAATATTCATTCGTTTTGGGAGTCACATAGACACTGGGAGGCACATGTGATATGGTGACCACTGATGTAATGTTTGTTAGCCTCTATCTTATATGATGGACATCAAAAGATTCTAAGATGATGTAAACAGTCACGTACGAGAACCTATGTTATAGGCACAAGGGACAAGATCTTCTCAGGGGTGGCAGAATCCATCTACAACAGGGGTCTTCAAACTTGGCCCTTTTATGACTTGTGGACTTCAACTCCCAGAATTCCTCAGCCAGGCGCACCTGGCTGAGGAATTCTGGGAGTTGAAGTCCACAAGTCATAAAAGAGCCAAGTTTGAAGACCCCTGATCTACAACCTCCTCCTACAAGATTGAAACTAATCGGCAAAATAGCTGAATGGCTTTTTTATTCCCCAAGTTTAATCAAGTTACCAATAAAGAAGGATATTTGTAGCTCAGGGTTGAAATGAGAGGTCGTTGTGCTCTCTGAGCTTGAGTATTTTCTTGCAGGCTTTTCATTACCCAAACTAGGTTACATCATCAGTCCTGATGATCAAGTTACTATTGTGTTTCTCTGCCAAGGATTAGGTACAATGTTTTAAATCAGTGGTTCTCAACCTTTTTAATGCCGCGACCCCAACCGGTCGTAAGTCGAGGACTACCCAACCGATCGTAAGTCGAGGACTTTCCCTGCCTGGGAGCTCCGTGCATGCGTGGTGCCGCCCCCTGCACCAGCTGAGGTGTAGCTGGCAAGTGGCAGAGACGGAGCAGGCAGACCACCGGCTGGGCCACCAGCTGGCCCAGCCCAAGGAAGGTAAGGCACCTGCCAGCCCCACGCTCGCCAGCAACCCTCCCTGCGCCCGACGGCCTCCCACCTCCCATCCCTGGCCCTCTTTTACTTACATTTTTAGTAGTTGCTCAGCAGGGAGGGGTGGAAGCTTCCAGACAGCTCGCCTTCGCTGCAGATAACTTGCAGCCCATTTGCAGAATGGGACTTTTGGCGGGCTCAGCAGGGCAGAGACAGCCTGGACAATTCCTATTGCTTTTGAAAGCCAATAGAATTAGACTCTATTCAAGAGAGTCTATTCTATTGGCTTTCAAAAGCCAATAGAATAAAAGGGAGTAGCACAGCTAAGGAAAAGGGGGAAAAAATGGCGGACTGCGTTGTTTGGCGACCCACGTGAAATGGTCGTTCGACCCCAAATGGGGTCCCGACCCACAGGTTGAGAACTGCTTTTTAAAATTATTTTATATAAGCCATCAATAAATGAACAATTACTTAAAACTTACTATATTGTGAGCCAGTATTATTTAAGCATACATGATAACATATGACCAATAGTTTATTTTTTTAAAAAAACCTTCAAATTAAGGAGTGGGAGAATAATATATTTCAAAGATAAGTGCAAGACGTTAGGGTACCAAATAACTGAATAAATGAAATAATAGGTTTAATATGTATAAACAAATTAAGAAAATGTCTAAACAAGTGTATGACATTGTTGGGTCTTTGTGAAATTGATAAATGTCCAGAATCCGTATATTAAAAAAAAAGACTCAGAATAATCTTCGGGGCATTAGACCATGTATGACTCATCTTCAGGATGAAATATTTGAATGCAGGGTATCAGAGAAAACATTGCAAATGTTGAGATCAATCAATCAGAATAGAGCTGGAAGGGACCTTCTAGTCCAACCCCCTGCTCAAGCAGGACCATACCATTTCAGACAGTCTTTAAAAAATTCCAGCAATGAAGTACCTACAACTTCTGAAAGCAAGCTATTCCACTGGTTTTTCTCACTCTTAAAAATTTTCTCCTTAATTCAAGGTTGCTCCTGTCTTTGATTAGTTTCCATCCATTGTTTCTTGTCCTGCATTCTGGTGCTTTTGAAAATAAGTTGACCCCCTCTTCTTTGTGGCAGCCTCTCAGGTACTAGAATACACCTATCATGTCACCCACTAGCCCTTCTTTTCTCTAGATTAGCCATTCCCAATTCCTGCAACCGTTCTTCCTATATTTTTGTCTCCAGACCTTTAATCATGTTAGTTGCTCTTTGCACCTTTTCGAAAATCTCAACATCTTTTTTATAATGTGGTGACCAAAACTGGATGTATATTCCAGATATGGTCTTATTTTATAAAGCAGTACTAATACTTCATGTAATTTTGATTCTGTGTCTTTGTTTATACAACCAAGGATTGTACTAGCTTTTTTGGCTGCTGCCACACACTGCTGGCTCATGTTTAAGTATACTACTGCAGACTTAAGGTCTAAGGTTCCTCTCACAGTTACTGTTTTTGAGCCAGGTTTCACCTAATGTGTATTTATACCTTTGATTTTTCCTGTCTAGATGTAAAACCTTGCTTTTCTCCACATTAACAGAGCAATGGAGGTGATTGATTGAGTAATAACAGATCCCACCTCCCCCTCACTCTGCCCCCACCCTTCCCATGTGTCTTTGGTTTTAAAGTTATAATAATAATAATAATAATAATAATAATAATAATAATAATAATAGTAGTAGTAGTAGTAGTAGTAGTAGTAGTAGTAGTAGTAAAGTTGGAAGGGACCTTGGAGGTCATCTAGTCCAACCCTCTGCTCATGCAGGAAATCCTATACCATTTCGGACAAATGGCTGTCCAGTCTCTTCTTAAAAACCTCCAGTGTTGGAGCATTCACTGCTTCTGTAGGCAGGTTGTTCCACTGGTTAATTGTTCTAACTGTCAGGAAGTTTCTCCTTAGTTCTAGGTTGCTTCTCTCCTTGATTAGTTTCCACCTGTTGCTTCTTGTCCTGCCTTCAGGGGCCTTGGAAAATAGCTTGACACCCTCTTCTTTGTGGCAGCCCCTGAAATACTGGAACACTGCTATCATGTCCCCCCTTGTCCTTCTCTTCATTAAACTAGACATACCCAATTCCAGCAACCGTTCCTCATATGCTTTAGCCTCCAGTCCCCTAATCATCTTTGTTGCTCTTTTCTGTACTCTTTCTAGAGTCTCAACATCTTTTTTACATTGCGGTGACCAAAACTGGATGCAGTATTCCAAGTGTGGAATACTTTGTTTTTCACTTTTTATCTTTTAGCTTAGATGTAACTGTAAACCACTCAGAGTTATCCTATGGTAAGATGGATGGCCAATAAATTTTATAAATAAATAAATAAAATCATGTTATTGGATAGGGCCCAATGTTCAAGTCTGTCAAGATCTTTTTGTATCCTGGGCTTGTCTCCTGGGTTGTTGGCTATTCCTGTCAGCTTAGTGTCATCTGCAAATTATGAGTTCTCCTTCTATTCCCTCATCTAAGTCATTTATGAAGATATTTAAGAGTACTGGGCCTAAGATGGAGCCTTGTGGTACCCCACTACTTACGTCTCTCCATGTGGAGGTAGTGTTGTTATCTGAGTTTAGTTAAGATCATTAAAGTTGCTGATTTTATTCCAATTTTAGAAATGTTATTAGCTTAGATTAGATCCCAATTATATCTAATTCTTGTACAGGGGAAATACCGAAAGCTTATGATTATTTACGTGGGTAGTCAGTATGAAAGTAGGGCTTTTAGGTGGGTTGGTCACATACAGAGAATTGGTTAAAATCAAATTTGTAAAATTTGAAGAAAGTGGCAAAATTTAAAGATGACTCAAAAAGAAAGGACTAAAGAGATAAAGGAAGACTGAGACAGTTTTAGTTGAATGGGGATGTTGAGAGCTTCATAAAACAAAATTGTCTGTTTAGTGAAAAAGAAGTGATGTCTAAGAATGTATGAATGTAATGAACCAGATAAAATGCAACGGTGATGTATAATAATCTGTACAAAGTTGACTATAGCAATATTTTTTTGCTTATCTCATGCCATTAAGTCATTTTGTTAATTATCCCTTACTTCCCCACCCCTCATGCTATGCAGAGTATCAACCCAAATAATAATAGTGTGGTACTTATTTAGTTATAAGTGCAATTTCTTACTACTTGCACTTACCCCTTCCTTTCCCTAAAGCTGTCAAGAATGCATTCTGTGGTCGATCAGAGAATTCTTCTGGGAAGCTGGTCATTCCTTCTTTCACAGCTTTGAATCCAGACAGCACTACTAGAAGGTGATGTCCAATCCATATGGAGTATATATTTCCATATCGTTTTGCAGGCTGCCAAGTGAATCAAAATTGAGAAATGATACAATCAAATAGAACAGATTATTTATAATTAATTTGCCACTTACACTCTTTCCTAAATCGTTAATTCTAAGATCTTTCACCATATGAAATTATCTGCTCTAAAGAAACTTATTTTTCTCTAAGATTCCTGCCAAGAACTTTTGTTCTTGTGCTTCATCTATTTTCCTGGGATGTTCTTTTCTCTATGTTTCTACTTGAAATCCATCATCTTTTATCTGCTTGCTCCAGTCCCCCTTGTCTCAGATGAGAGATGGTCTTCTTATTGGGTTTATGACAACTCGCCATGGCCAACTTGCCACTAAACAACTCACCATGGCCAATTTGCTTCAAGACAACTTGCCATAGGACAAGAAATTGAAGAAATAGTCTAATAGAATCATTAAAGAAAGGATGCCCAAGAAGGGACAAAATAAAATGTGAATAACAAAAAATAGAATATTTTTTTAAAATTATGTTAAATAATTAAATTTAATTGTTGAATTGTCCTGTGGCAAATTGTCCCATCGAGAATTAGCCACGATGAATTGGCCCATGGTAAGTTGGCCATGACGAGTTTGCCATGGAAGTTGGCTGAGGCAAATTGTCCCATTCCCCTTCTCACTGCCCAATCCTCCTGTGACTGACAGATATGTGAGCCACAGCTTGTCTATGAGTCACATCTTTTGAACACTACAGTTTGGATGGTTTTCAGAGACTTTCTCAGCCTCTTTGCCTTCTGCTTTTTTCGGCCATCAACTCCTCAACTTTCCAACTTCAGTTACATTGAGAGAACCTTCTAGAGATTATGAATTGTCCTGAAGTAGAGAAGAGCAACTAAAATGATCAAAGACCTGGAGACTAAAACATATGAAGAACAGCTGTTTGGCTAGTCTAAAGTAAAGAAGAAACAGGGGCGACAGGATAGCAGTATTCCAGATTGGCCACAGGGGAAATACAATCTCCATACAAACAATTGAAGAAGTTACTAAAACAATTAATCAACTTCATTTTTATGGTTCTATTTTTATTTT